TGGCCAGTCAAGAATCCGGCCCCCCCCCCCCTTCTGATTTCTCGGATAATATACTCGAGAGTTTTCGGGTAACGGGGAAACCAAAGCATTACATAAGGTCTAATGGTCATACAACTCAAGGCTAACCCGGGTGATTGACAACACCTGTTGTTGGGTAAACACCCGAACGGTGTCGAATTCTCCATGAGAGCTGACTACTAGTTGGTAAATTCATTTTAATTTAGAAAATAACTATATACATACTGTCGGTGTTGCCAGCACTCTTCCACTTCATCAACAGGCAGGGGTGCCTTCCTCCTACAACGAGTACCCTCCAGGGTATTCATCACACAGTTCCCGGTGAACTTGTTGCCGTAAAAGACCATTATTACACAAGTGAAATAACAGTGGTTCAAAGCAAGCTAGGCGAACGAAGCAAAAGCTAAGTAAATATCTCAAAACGACTTGTCTAGGACAGAATCTAGCAGAGAATGGCAAATTTCTCGCTTCTCATCTAACACGAAACCTATTGTCATCGCGCGCGCGGTCTTTTTGAATGCATTTGTTAAATTGAAATACATCACGTGATTCGAGCAGACGAATCACATTTAACATTTTCAGTGCATTCACTCATGCAAAGCATGGACCTATAATTACGGATGGACATTCATCGTTTTCTTAACGAATTGTGATTGTCATTGTGATTGTCTCCGTCAATCGGGGGCGGATCAAGGCAGCCCCCGGCAGGGGAGGGGTCCAATTCGTGAGAAAATCGTTGTACCGGTCAGCAATCATTATGACACTAAGCAACACGACGACGACGAATTCAATACGAAGCAAAAACTAAGTAAAAATCTGATCTCAAAACGACTTGTCTAGGACAGAATCTAGCAGAGACAGGCAGATTTTAGCTCCTCATCTTACACGAAACCTAAAATTCGATTTGCGCGGGCGGTTTCTGTGAATGCATCACGTGGTTTGAGCAGACGAACGAATCACATTCACCCACAAAGGCATTTAATAATGGCAACGGATTCCAAAAATATATTGGTGATAACTGTCATGCTATTGAGCCCACCGTGCTAAAAATCTATTGTCATGCTAATATAATGTTGGAATTCCAGCGAACCTCGTACTTTCTATCGTCTGATTTGTAGAGGAATTGCTTGAAGCTATCGTCTTCAGCTGTTGATTGATAGAGCATTATAAGGTTATTCATGTACTGGACATACTATTGTGCTCCTGCATGGGTGATCAGTAAAGTGTGCCCCGTATGACGTGAACGTCTTTCTTTCATTTTGATGGACACGCAACAATAAACCTGCAAACAAAATCGGTGTCAGAGGAGACAGTTAAAGGAAGAAGAAGAAGAAAGTGAGCAAAGTGTGATAAATATTTCTTTTTTGATATCATTAAAATCTTCAAACTATCAGACCGCATAATAGACTTACACGTATTTCCCTATTTCGTCAATGTGCACAATCTGTTGAATTGGAATGTTGTATATGATTTGCCATGAGACAAACACAGATTCACCCTTCTATAATCCCCCAAACATCACATCACTTGTGTATTCTACCATGTGCTGATTCTACCAATAGACCGATTTGTAATTGACACATGGTACGAGTTTAAATGACCCAATTTTCCAACAGATTTTGAGATTTGAGAATAATCGGCTAATGTGATAGCGGTGCGTTATGATTCCCCCTTTTGAAAAGAATACTTTCAATTGTGTAGTTACCATGCATGTCATGGAATTCACTTTTGAATACGTAATTTTCATGACCTCTATCTGTTGTAGATCGTAGGCTATCATCGAAATAACTGCATACAAACATACAAAACAGGCCCCACGAAAAGTTTTAAAAAGTGGTGGGGGGGGGGGGGGCTAAAGTATTTACGAACAGGTAAGTTCAAGTTCAATTTATTCAAAACCACACAAAACATGATATGATCTTTTACCTAAAAAAGAGACTGGTAATAGTACATTAATCATCATCACATCATAAAATGAATGGTTTTAGGACCCCTTTAGAAGCTAAGCTTGTGCATGAGCGGGGCCCTATATAGTCAACAAAATACATACATTAACAATAAGGTGAAAAAATAGAATGTAACGTAACTGTATATACAAGGGATGAAAATACAAAGCTATAGACTGTAGAAAACACACACACGCACACCCACACACACACACCACACACACAAACGAACAAACAACAAACACACACATACCCAAACACATGTACATAAATACATGAATACATACACAGATCCAGGATTTCTTAGGGGGGGGGGGGGCCCAAATTTGAAATTATGCGAGCCAAATATTGGTACGTAATGGTGACCAGCATTGGCGTAATGGGGTGGGGGCTGGGAGGAGCGGTTTCCTCCTCCCTCCTCCGCAAAGCGCCGAAGCTTTTAGGTTTCATTAAATTATTAGAGAAAGAAGACGATTCGTTGTACCGTTCTCGAAAATAATCCTCGTCTGAATTCAGTCCCCCCCCCCCCCTTCCCGCGCGAAACGCGAAGCTTTTACGTTTCATTAAATCATTAGAGAAAGAAGACGATTCGTTGTACCGTTCTTGACTTTTAATCCTCATCTGAATTCAGTTCTTCACTTCCCCCTCCCGCGAAGCGCGGAAGCTTTTACGTTTCATTAAATCATTAGAGAAAGAAGACGATTCGTTGTACCGTTCTTGACTTTTAATCCTCATCTGAATTCAGTTTTTCCCTTCCCCCCTCCCGAGCGAAGCGCGGAAGCTTTTACGTTTCATTAAATCATTAGACAAAGAAGGCGATTCGTTGTACCGTTCTCGACTTTTAATCCTTATCTGAATTCAGTTTTTCCCTTCTCCCCTCCCACGCGAAGCGCGGAAGCTTTTACGTTTCATTAAATCATTAGAGAAAGAAGACGATTCGTTGTACCGTCTTGACTTTTAATCCTCATCTGAATTCAGTTTTTCCCTTCCCCCCTTCCGGCGCGAAGCGTGGAAGCTTTTACGTTTCATTAAATCATTAGAGAAAGAAAACGATTCGTTGTACCGTTCTCGACTCTTAGTTTCTTTAAAAATGGGATGGGTTTTTTCTCTCTCTCTTTGGAATCCTGAGAAATTTAAAAAGGAGGTTATAAAATATCTTGAATTTCAAAGAATTTTTTTTTTTTTTTTTTTTTTTTTTGGGGGGGGGGGGGGGGGGTGGGTCTCCAAGGCAGGAAAATCCAGCGAAAAGCCGGCGAAAGGGGGATTCAGAAATGTTGGCAGTCCTGAGATAGGGTGGGGGGGGGGTGCTCTCAAAGGGAGGGAACGAGCATACGCGTACCCTAAATAACACTTAATGGGGGGGGGGGAGCCGGGCATCTACTGTACATGATTGCACTTTTAAGCGCTCGCGCGCTGGCGCACTTTACGTTTGGGCTATAATAATACCTTTCAAAATAACGAAAATTATTCTGAAGTTTATGAAGCGCTTGTTCGCGCACATCGAGCAACTACTCTTAATGATCGTGACATACTACATGTAGTTAGTCCCGTAGTTATAGTAGCTGACATCAAGCGCAACAAATATGTCTTCAGTTGTAGATGTGTGTTTGTGGTGGTGGTGGGGTACACACAATGAATATATCTCCCTAATTTATTTTTTTAGTTGTTGTTGTTGATGTGGGTTTTTTCCGGGGGGGGGGGGGCATATCATCCAGGAAGAAAAAGAAGATATTCCATCATGAGAACATTAACAACTTTTGCCTCTGACAAAAAAACAAAAATACGTTTTCAAAATTTTGCACTCTTTTACATAAAATATATGTAGGCGGAACATAGCACCTACGGATATGTATTTGTCATTACTGTGCGGGGTGGGCCGGTTGGGGGGGGGGGGAGTGGGGTGGGGTGGGGTTGATGTTTTACGAGTAGGTCAACAGATGGGTCAACTTTTCTATTTGAAGTGTAATAGCTCATGTATTTGTCTTAAAACAAGGTTACAAAAAGCTACTACAACATAATCATCATCATCATCATTATTACCCCCCCCCCCCACCCCCACTTTCTATAACATTAAAACAAAAATCGTCATATCGTCTGAAAGTTGAACTATTGATACGTAATCACCGTTATTGCGACCTAATTCTTAAAGCATAAATCTCGACTACAACATTAGTTGCAATTAACTGCGAATCCTGTACATTAATGTCTCAATTAAGATAAACAGAATGATATTAAAATGCTCAATGTGTAAAGGTACGTATTGAGCATTGAGCCACTGCCTGCAGAATACAATTTATATTCACAAATTGAAAAACTTGAACTCAAATATAAACAGTAATGTTGTTATGTGTTATACTTTAAGACGTTTTACACTTTCAATACGGATATGGAAAGCACCATTATCAATCAGTATTGTATGCGAAGCAACACATGAATACCATGGGTATTTTAACCATCGACGATCGACGAGTAACATCGCGTCGAGCGGAAAATCAATTTATTTCGATGATTTTGCCCGCTGTGAATTTCAATTTCCATATTCATGAATATCTGCTAAGAGGAGTCATATCACTTTTCCATTGTTCGGAATATAATCACATTTAAGTACATCATTGTATATCATAATAATGTTCAGCCCATGCAGTGGAGGATGGAGGAAGGGGGGGGGGGGGTAAAGGGAAACAGACCTCGATCAACCCCCTAGCTGCCCCTTCTTAAACCATAACTGATAAAATCTAAACAAAGCACTTGAGAATTCTGAAAACTATTTTAGCTTGCTTGTTTGGATGTCATAAAGTTTCGGAAATATGCGAAATGTACCTCTATATAGCTTACGCCGTACGAGCTGTCTTTGAATGGACATGTTTATTAATTTACTTCAATATTGTTATCAGAGACAGAGAGGTATAGACAGAGAGACAGACAAAGACAGGGTGATTTTTTTTTTTTTTTGGGGGGGGGGGGGGGGGCTGAGACAGTCGTTGAACAAGTCGACCGAATTTAAGGCGAATTTATCACCGGGTGACTCTCCATATCGTGGATTCGGGCCGACTCTTCACCCACGTGCTATCTTACATGCATATAGTACATGTATCTTCAGCTCGACGGATGGGGTGAAGTTCCAACGACAATGAGACGATTCCTGACGTGAGTTAGTGTATCTTACATGGTAAGATCAAATTTTCTCTCTTGAAACTGTCACTAGAATTTTCATGAAACTCGCTTTCAATTGACACAAGAAAATTGACACGAAACAGGTATTAGAAACGACTAAAATAGTAGATGTAGATCTAGATGTAATGTTACTGTTTGTACTTCAGAAGTTCAGTGTTACTGATCGCGCATTCGATTTTGTGTGCTAAAATCCTTCCCGTAGTCGTAGAGATTGCTCGCATCCAGTCTAGTGCATTGCGCGATCATGCAAAATTGGTCAGATTCAAACCTTTATGCTTTTGATCCTGAAGGTGATAGGTCTACTCAATAAATGAGGTGTTATATCATGTAAGAGCAGGTTTTTCTCCCTATTTCCAAAGGGGGGCGAGCGTCATCTCGGAATTCTAAAAAATCTTGGTCAAAACAGCGATAAAAACATTGTTTCCATCGTCGTAGATTCGAGATATGCCACTTTTGAGAAATGACGCCCATGCCAGTCCCAGTCGTAAGGAATACATCTAGATCTTTTCCCTTTTTTTCGCTCGCCCCAACCCAAGGGATCACACACGTTTACACAATTACAGTTTGAAAATGCCCTTGCCCAAACTCTTCGGATCAGCTAAGTGGTAGGAAGGCGTATAAACTCTGCTCAGCCAGAACCCATGGTGACAGCGCGTAGAATCTGCACATGCATATGTTTTTCATGCTCGGTAGCTCAATGGCGCGAAACAATCTTTGTGCGTGCTACCCTTGTTGCAAGCCTTCGGATCGCTTGTGTGTGTTTGTGTATTCGGCGAACGGACCCGCATACGGATGCACAATGAAGGCAATGGAGGTGGAACATGCGATCGCGCTCAAGTAGTGCTGTAGCTAAGCAACACATGTACGCTTGCATATTGCGCGATGCAGCTGTTTAGCAAAACAAAATAACTCTTCATCTACATCTTTATCGTCGATTCTGACAAAAATTGGATGAATATTGCCTAGATTTTTGGGGGGCTGTATCTTTGATAGAAAAATCAGTAGATCTAGATCTAAGTCTTGAAATTTGAAATGTATTATTTAGAGTAAATATTTTTTTCAATTATCCAACCATATAATGGTGAATGGTTAAGATCCATAACAAGGCTGACGGATGCATCAAGACTGGCTGCAGACAGAAAGACTTGGTATACCATCACAATACGGAAGCCATCACGAGCCCCTGGCCTGCGTGGAGGGCATGAGTCAATGGTGAAAAAACGATCCAAAAGGGAAAATTTAAAAATGGTTCAGACCCTCTACTTCTTGCGACCAGTAACATATTTGTTAGCTGAGCTGAGCTTAGAAAGCTATGATTATGGGGGCAAGCAAATTTTGCCCACATTTTGAAGACAAAAACTGGAATGTGTATTTTTCTGAAATGTTCAATTCATGATTAGGTATTCATCCTAGAGTTTCAGTTGGGTATACATATATTTATTTAGACCAGTCTAGGCCTATACCAAACTGAAAATGAAATTTTGGACTAAAAATGGGTGAAAATTGAATGACAGAATTTGGGAGATATATAGACTTGTGCAACTGACAAAAAAGTTATAAAAACAACAAGTCCTAACTTAATGCATGAGAGTTCTGCACACCTTTGGTTGTGATCGCATAAAGTTTGAGAGATAATCTCTGCTAGCACCAACGGTAAGAGTTAGTTCCACGCAATTTCAGTTTGTTATGACAATTATCATTGTGTTCCTTAACATAAAAGATCGTTTTCAGTGGACTGTAGCTATGAGTATGAAACCAAAAGTGATATTTCTTCTTGGCAATTCCCAGGCATAGGGCTGTTTTTGTTATTCTTTTTTTAATAGATGTTATTATCATTTTGTATGCTTTCGTTGTAAGCGTATATTTTTTGATGTTGAGTTCTTTGAAATTAAATAAATAAATGAAAATTTAACCTTTCTCACACCCATGTTTCCTCCTCTTCAGAATTTGTTACCAAACTTTGCCAGCTGAGAAAAATTAACTGATCTGTACCCTCCAGAGATTCTCGTGCAGTGTTGCCAATTAGCGATGCCACCCAAGAACAACAACACACTGCCCTATGGGGGAACCAGGTCTCCATGAACCTCAACCCTCTGATTCTGACCAACATCCAGTCATCACCGTATTTCAAGAACGACCTCTTCAAACTCAAGACCTACCATGAGGTCATTGATGAAATATACTACAAGGTAAGGGCTGGAGGTAGGTGCCATCATTTTCTATCTTCTTATTTTAAAGATAAAATAGTAATTCATAGAATGTATTACACCACTTACATGTGCCAGAACATTACTTTCTCATATTAAGAATGGGAAAGCTAAAAAGCTACATGTATATATTTTTTTTTTTAAGAACAAAGGAAAAAAAAATTGTTTTAATTCAGGAGAAGTTAGTAGGGAGTAGTTTAGTTTAGTTCTAGTCTGAAAAGTTCTAAATTAGGTCTGAACCATTCCAAAGTAGCTCTTAGAAAGAAAAAGAAACAAACTGCTGACACAGTCTCTAGTTTTTGTCTTTTTTCAAAATTGTGAAAGACTTCCACATCAGTCAAGAAACAATTTTTTGAAATTCTATACACGTTGCAGTCCAGACTTATAATGTAATGTTTTATTATACTTTGTCAATGCGACACAGGTTTCTAGACATCAGACTTGTCACTGCATTTCACTGCGATATAAAGTAAAGTGTGCAGGAAGATTGGTCAATAATTGAATAGGACATTGGTCAAGAATTGAATGGAATATTGGTCAAGAATTGAATGGGACATCTCAAGAATTGAATGGGACATTGGTCAAGAATGGAATGGGACATTGGTCATACGATTTCGAAGACAAGACCCATGCAAGTACATGGAATATAGTAGCAATCAATGTAACATATTTCAATATCCATGCACAATTTCTTCTTTTTTCAAGTGAGAGTGTCTTTGTTATCTGTACAGGTAATAAGTGCAAACTTGCACGTTTCTTCTCCTGACATGATTATTTTTCACCAGGTGGCGCATCTAGAACCCTGGGAACGAGGTAGCAGACAAACATCAGGACAGATAGGAATGTGTGGAGGGGTAAGTCATCTTCTCAAAGCCAGAAGGGCACTCATTCTGAGTTTTACAATGCCCTTCTGGCTCTAAGCAGAAAAAAAGTATTTCATTTTTGACATCTTTGCCTTCTTATAATTACCCTCTATTTTTCCTGTCATCTATTCATTCCATAAAATTGTCCTTACCTTTCTTACATCCAGTGAATCGCTGAATCGGCATCAAATTTGATTAAACAAATTTTATGTTTTATTAATAGGCCATAAGTGTCAAATGTGTGTATGTAATGTCCTTGTAAATAAGTTGCAAGTATGCTTATAGAGGCAAACTTCATTCCTTGTATTGTTGAAATCTTTGTAATGTTAACTTAAATAACCTTAAGGAAGGAATTAACGACAGTTGAAATGTGAAATACAACATATATCGAGATAAACAATTAATATGATAGAGAGAGGATATTTTCACCCTTTAAATGCTTTTATACTTGGGTGAAAGACATTATAATTGTGATCTAAAAATAAAAAAAAAACCTTTATCATTACTATTTGAACCTTCCAGTCTATGGCATTTGAGCATAAGACATTGCTTCTTATGCATACTGTCTGCTGTTCAAAACAAATTATTGAAAAGAAATTACAAAATTATATAATCTAAAAAAGCTACTTCTAGCACCATCGTTTTAATCTTCAAATTGGCACTCTTTCAGGTCCGTGGGGTTGGAGCAGGAGCATCGTTTCCTCAGCATACTGTCTGCTCTACAAGCTCTATACCTTGAAACTGACTCGCAAGCAGCTAAACGGTCTACTGACACACTCTGACTCATCGTACATCAGAGCACTAGGCTTCCTATACATCAGGTAAGGAGGGTAAGATGCTCGTAATTGAGCAAAAAAATACTTTTTACATTGATTCCTTCAATGTGATTTGCGGGGGGGGGGGGGGGGGGGGGGGGGTGACATGCTTTCGAGTAATAGCAATTTTGTCACCCCTAACCAGCAGATCCTTCTCTCCTCTCCACTTTCCTGAAACTGTTTGCATGTATTATGAAATCTCTATGTACTATCTGATTGTTATACTCACTGTATGTTTTATGATTGGTCAAATGAATAATAATAATAATGATAATTTGAAATTTTGAATACTGGTAGTTCCAGCAGAATTCACATCACCATCAATCTACATTAACTTTGTCAAATGTTAGGAGCATAAGAGCCTTGAAAGAGTATTTTATATATAGTGAATTGAAAAACACTTCCACTCATACAAGAGTTGGTGTATACACCGTGCACAAAGAGTCATGCTTACACACCAATAGATCACCTGGATGGACTGTACATTGCTGGTAGTTTCAATAATAGGAGTTTTTTTTAATTATATGATATGTCAGGCAAAGAGTTTTCATTGTAAGCTCTGTTTCTATGCCTACATATCATAGTGGTTCAAAATGTGCTCTGATTTCTTCAAATTTGAGTTCAAGAAGAAATATTCCACTCCGTGCTTGTGTTTATGCCCCCCCCCCCCCCCCCCACTCCCTACCCAAGTTATTTTAGACTCGCTTTGCTTCATGGTGTGTTGTATGCCGTGCAAATGGATAACATTACATTCATGTGATTAGGAAGGTCCTTTAAATTGTGTATTTATCTTTTGTTACAAAGAAATTATTTGAGGGGTAAAAAAGTTGGGGATTATAAAGAAAAGGATAATTGTTTTTTTCTTCAAAAATATCAATACTTAATGCTCAGTAGATTTTTTTTAAATTTTTTATTTGTTTCCTATGTATGTCTGATATACACTTTTAAACTATTATACCTGCTTCATTTCTTGGAGGAACTATTTTTTTTGTGTTTCATTTTCCTGTTGATATTACTTTTGAATAATTGAAAGTATTTCCTATTCATTCCTATACAGATACAGTCAACCACCTCAGGACCTATGGGATTGGTATGAGGAGTATTAAATGATGAGGAGGTTTGTATAACAATCATTTCATTTCTTGATTGTTGTAATCTAAATGCCAGAGCATTTCGTTAAATACTTTTATTTATTTAATGTGGTTGGACATTTGTATTTATCCTTTAATGCAGTATATTTATGTATCAATTATAAGATGCATCCATATGTGTACATGTGCAAGCTTTAGTGTCAATCTGAAGAAAAAAATTATATCAATTTCTTTGTTTATTCAGTAATTAAAGTCTGACTTTATTGCCACTACACATTAATAACTAAAACTATCAAGATATGTTTCATACTTTTCACCTACGAAATGACACCACATATTTATTTGAATGATGTACATCCAATCCTAAAATTTGCGTACTAATTGAAATTGATATGAAGTGTATAGGCTAATTTTCCTACACTTTCAAGTTAAGAACATGATCAAAGCAACTTGTAATAAAAAATAAAAAATGAATCCAAAATAAATGAAATGAAACATTAAGAAAAACAAAGCAATTCCAGTCATTATGGTTCAAACTTGGCAAATTGTGTAGTAAGAGGGAAATGTTTCCAGAGGAGTCCCACATTTTCTTGTTTAATTGTTGCTGAGGGGAGGATCAGAGAAGTGAGTCTTGATGTCGTCATCTGCCTGGTAAGGAAACTTGTTAAATGGGAGGAAAAGAGGTAAGACTATACATGTACATGTTAATTGGCTTTGTGTATTCCTGTTTTCTGCTAGGGCGTGATAGGTTTTTGTTTTAAGCTTACTCAGATTTCAAATTGCTTTACATCACAGAATTAAACATGTAGGTAAGCATAGCGAAGGAATAAGAACACAAAATTCTGGGGCTAATAATTTTGGGAGAATTATTTTTGCATCAAAATGGTTTCAATGATATGAGCATGGGTTATTAAAGCATTCACTTGTATGTTAATGCATATGTGATGGAATAACTGACATAGCAGAATTTTCTGTATTTTTTGTGGAGGGGGGGGGGGGGGGTAAATAAAATAAAATTTTACATAGACATGCGAAGTATATTTCTTCTAGATAACTTTAGAGACTTAGTTTTCACTCTTTAACATATCTTGTTTAATTCTTAATATTTCAAGATAAGGTAGGGTTAATTATACTGTGTATCATGTGATAACAGAAATACTAGAACGCTCTATTATTTTGAAAAGGTTGGGGGGGGGGGCAGAACAATAAGTGTTGAGATATAATGAAAACAACAAAAATGAGATATACTTAGTGTTTTGTTTAGCAAATGTTAACAGATTTCTTGACTATGTTAATTCTGAAGGGGTTAGGTCCTATGTTGAATTTAGAAAATGTGCATGTTTCTGTGAAATACTGTTAACATTAATACTTTCACTTGACACATTTTATATGTTCTAACCCAAATTTAGGAGATGGCAGACATCACAGACACGAGTCCTCCCTTCTCTCTCTCTCTTTCTCCCTCACTCATGGCTGCGTGATTCATTGGCGGGCCGTCTGAGAGCGTTCGTAAGCACACAGTCAAATCGAACGAGTACAAAACCCTCTGTCCCTCATGAATTTACTAGAAAACAATTAAGTTAATCATAGTATTGCTATTAATCTGGTTTGAATCGGAAAGTGGTGATTTTTTTTGGCAGTGGGAAAGTATAACAAAAGTGGCCTGTGATTTACAAATATGTCCTGTTTGATGTAGAAAGACAAATATTGAAGCTTTTAAATTAGGCACATCATCAAGATACATCATCAAGGTAGCATAAGATTTCAAAGGAAAGCTATCAGAACGTTTGAGACTGTGGCTATCCGTGATATAACCAATCAATTTCAGTTTACATAGATGTATTGTTATTTACAATATTGTATCAAGTTTTGACCACATAGACTTCAAGAAATGAAAGGGAAAACAGAACAAATTAGAACTATACAAAAAGAAAGAAACATACAAAATAAGGGAAGAAAAACGGCAATGAATGTTCTCTCTAGAGTGAATGTGTTTCCTTTTGCTATTCATAATGCTTTCTTATCAAACAACAATTCAGCCTCAAGCTACAAAGTTTTGATGAGTCTTCTTAATCTCATGCCTCTCTCTACCCCCCCCCCCCCATCCCCTTATATTTTTCTCTGAATAGGAGGTGGATACCAAGGCTGGTGGAGGTAACTGCATCCCCATCGGCCAAATGCTGATGCACTTTCTAGTGAAGCTGGAATGGCATTCTTCTCTCTTCCCTCGGATTCCTGTTCCAGTAATGAAAGTAAGTGCATTATAGTAAGGTTGTTATTATTTGACTGGGGAGGGGGAGGGGGGGGGGGAATGTGTGCAATTACAGTAGATTGGTTGTTTGCACCAGTGAAATAAAACAAACTTACTGGGAATTATCTTTAAAAAAAATATAACTATGAATTGAATACCGTTAGTGACCTGTGTTAAGCACATGGTGTCGGGCCTACTTACCCAGGTTTCCTTATCTGTCTATGATCATTAATCAGCCACTTTACATTTTCTACCAAAAGTGTTTGGCACATGTCATTTATTTGTCATCATGAACATTTAGTGTAAGTTTCGTTGGATTCTGTGAGATTTTATTTTCTATATTTACCAGAACTCAAGTTTATCTTTAATGCATATTTTTTATTTGTCTTTATCAGGATATAGAGAGAAAGGTGTCCGAATGGCAGTATGCTCAGCGTCAGAACAACCCCAAGGTGAAGCCATGGAGGAGGAGGGGAATCCCCAAGTAGACACCAATGACTGGACTGATGAAAATGACAAGTGGGTGAATTATTCTTTGATGTTGATGTAATTGAAGTTACTCGGTCACATTGCCTCAGATTCTGAAACAAAATCCTGGATTTAGCTAATGCTGCAATCATAATTATAAACCTTTAGGTCAGTAAGGAATCCCGTGACTTTTACAAGCCGATCGCCTGTGTGATTATCAAAATATTTATGATCGGAAAATGAAATTTCGCTTTTTGTTTTTCTAATGGTTTTCAAAACACTACAGTCTATTGGGGAAAATGGGTATGGTAAAACCGGTCACTCAAAGATTTTTACTTTTTTGAGGCACTTCATGATAATTTTTAAGCGCAATTTTTGTAGGGCTTCAATATAACACCATATCACAGGCACTGATAACACGTAGGGCTATGCATCTCAGATTTAACATTGTTAAACGGTGCCTTTAAAGCATGCCTTTCATGTGATGAAAAGGGCATTTGGGGCATAGCAAAAGGAGAAAGAGTGAATCGTGATATAAATGAAAAGACTTTGATATTATAGAAACTTTTGTTTTCATTAGAGGAAGAATTACTAGAAGTATGTGTTTACATATTTGACTGTGTTCATTAATTTGGAAAGTGCCAAAACCTCATTAGATAGTAAATATAATATAGGCTTCAGAATACTGCAGTGTATATTTTATTAGACTGTAGACATGTTGATAAGTGACCCTGTCTGTTTCACTATGTTACTTTAACAGGAAACCAGAGCGATTTGAGGAGGAGAGAAAGCCTAGCAGAGACCGGGATGTTGACAACCATAGAAGAGACAGAGATAGACATCGAGACCAGGATCGGGACCGAGATCGTGATAGGGGTAGCAGTCGTGACAGTCATCGGGACAAGTCTCGTCACAACAGCAGAGATCATTCGCGTGATCGGGACAGACATCGCGGCGACAGAAGCCGAGACGTGGACTTCGACACAGCCCTGCGAAAAGAGCGGGACCGTCAGTCGAGAGATCACGGCCACGGAAGCAGTCGGGATGGTAGACATCGACGGTCACGCAGCAGGAGTCACGAAAGGAAAAAAAGAAGCCGCTCCAGGGAGAAAAGAAGGAAGTCGCGATCACGCTCCCGTGATCGTCATCGCCGTCGAAGCCGGGATAGGAGGTAGCACGGTCTTCTTACGAGTTGTGTATTATATTCACCCTCTATATGGCAGCAAGCCGAAGGGATTCCTTTTTTTATCAGGATTCATAAGTGTATATATTTTGTGTTATTACAAAGTGCACATGTACTGCATTATTACAAAAATGGATCATTTAATTTCTGTCTTGATAATTTTGAAAATATTGAAGCAACAAATAATTGAAAATTAAAATAAGTTTAAAAACCCACATTCTGTTACCTGTTAGAGGTTGTTATGAAAGATCCAAAAGTGTGTAATTACGTATATTATTACATTCCTCGCCAAAGAAAGAGAGGGATTTGAATGAGCCCTGTTAAATAAATTTTATAAAATATGATTCTCCTGTGTTTCTAAAGATGACACTTAATGAAAAGAGAACAACTAAACTGAAATCTGATTAATACTGTATTAAACACATGCTGGACGGTCTGCGATGGGTAATGGCAACAGGTTTTGAATTTTAATTGTACTGGTTTGAAAATCAGCAAAAGGTTTAGGTTCATCCTCAACCAAAATTATTCATGAAAAATCAGTCATAAACTTTGTTTGAAAATGCTTCATGATATGGCTCAGATTATACCAGGGAGCATCTGAGAACCTTACAGATCTTATAAAGCAAGCCCTTGAGTCTGTCCACAAGGGACTTCTTACTTTGCATACATCAGTTCATACCCCTTCCACGTTCCAGTTTTATATGCTTGAATGTTTGTTAGTGGAGCACCCTGACATGTATTGATGTTAGCTTTACTCAATGCATTATAAAACCACCAGTATTTCATTGTAACTTTATTTCTTAGTTTTTTTGCATTGAACTGTTGCCATATTCTATTGCTTCAATGAAATGTAAGTGTTTTCTGCTTTTCACATTCATGTAATTGCTGTCTAACATGTTACTTAATTGTGTAACCTGAATGAATGCTTGTGTGTGAGAGAGCTTGAACCCACTTAAAAACGTGATTTCAACAGAACTTCAACACAACAGAACTAATAATGATATTCATAATGTTGTGTATACATCTATGATGTCTTTATAAAGCACTTTAGAGATGTATAAAGATAAGAGATGAGAGACAATGTCTTGGATATAGCATGGCAGAATTGTAGCAGTTAAAGGCATTTGGATGAATCATCTAAAATTAAAGATGATTTTTAACATTGACAAAATTTGACCAATTAATAATATATGTCATGTTTTGTATCCTAGTAAATATGAATTCAATCTCTGTTTAATACCACTTCATTTATTTACAACTGATTCTGTTGTAATTTCTTTAATTCAGTCTTTTTCTTTTTTTAACTTTGCCTGCAATAATGTAACCAATTATGACATGATGTACAGAGTCTGAGTGCATGGCAATACTGTTATAAATGTTACTGTTAATGTTGGTATTGTAATCCATACTTTTATTAAGTTTGGTATGGTGGTGATGGTAAAATATAATGTTTGCAAAGTTTGCCATGCATGTTTATCTAGGTCACTGATGCCATTTACCATTAGGATTTATTACTATTATTACTTTTTGTGTGTGAATATCAAATGATTTCTTATTCAATGATAAAAATGCTTTCTTCCAAAGCAGTCGCTAATTAGCTTCTGAGCTTGAAAATATATTTGGTCACAATAGGTAGGCAAGACAACAATTATCAGTTCTTGCTATGTTGGATAAGTCTCTCAGAAGGCCAGATTGATTTGAAATACAAATAAAGTCATTAATATAGAACACGTATTCATCAATATTTTATCAAAATAATTTTAAAGACATATTAGATGTACCTATTTTTAAATATTCAGTGATATATTCCACAGTGTATTTGTTTCACTAAAGCTTAACTCGGGGCCCAACAATAACATGTGCCCGGGACACAGGGGCGCCAAAAATCATAGTCCGGACCCCAAAAAATGTTGAAAAACTTACATAGGGCTCATTCATATGCATTGTAAAAAGTTTTATATGGACCCCCTTCCACTGAAAAAAGGTTAGTGTATAGCCTTGGACCTTTGCTGTTTTGGGAATATTTATCCCTACAATATTGATGCATTGAAAACAGGATATCTTTCAAATATGAAAGAAAAAGGAAGCCTTTTAAACAATAGGATTTGCCTGTTTATGATCAAGGAATGTCATGTCACCAATGGTAGTTTGTTTTTGTTTGTTTCTTTTCACCAAAATAAATCTTGTTCTGTTGTACAAATTTTATTTGATTAATTTGTGTGCATCGTCATGTTTGTCGTAGACTGTGGACCTTCAGAAAAATGTGCAATATTTTTGTAATTTTGTGTGTATATTGGATAGGACAAGCCAAAGCAAGGGACATAGGAATGATCCTAAGCTTGATATTGATGGGTGCCTTGGCCAGCTGATAGACTATTGGGCAACTCAGCGGTCGATTGAAATATTGTGAAAGATTGAACATTTGAGAAGGCGAGTGTAAATTAGTTGAAGAGATGGAATATGATGGTACAGTTAGCATGAAACGGCACCATCTGAAAGAAGGAAAGGAGAGAGAGAAAGATGGTAGAGTAACAAAGAGAGAGAGAGAGACATGTATAATAAATTTTAAAAATAACAGAAAGAGAGAGATACATGTATGGTAGAATAACAAAGAGATGTGACAATGACAGAGCAAGAGAGAGATAGAGACGGACACATGTATGACGACAGAGAGAGAGAGAGAGAGAGAGATATGCATGTATATATGACCGAATAATAGAGAGAGAAATATATATATATATATGTATATATGACGGAGAGAGAGATGTGGCAGAATAATAGAGAGATATATGATAGAATGACACAGAGTGAGAGAGATATGGCAGAATAATAGAGAGATATATGATAGAATGACACAGAGTGAGAGAGATATGGCAGAATAATGGAGAGATATATGATAGAATGACACAGAGTGAGAGAGATATGGCAGAATAATAGAGAGATATATGATAGAATGACACAGAGTGAGAGAGATATGGCAGAATAATGGAGAGAGATGATAGAATAGCACAGAGAGAGATATGCATGTATATATGACAGAGAGAGATGACAGAGAAAGAGAGAGAGATATATGATAGAATGACACAGAGAGAGATATATACATGTATATATGACAGAGAGAGATAGAGGGAGAGAGAAATATGACAGAATAATAGAGAGGGAGAGATATGATTGAATCACAGAGAGAGAGATATGCATGTATATATGACATAAAGAGAGAGAGATATGACATAATAATAGAGAGAAAAAGATATGGTAGAATAACAGAGATATATATATACATATATATATGACAGAGAAAGAGAGAGAGATATATAGATGTATATATGACAGAGAAAGGGAGATATGACAGAATAATAGAGAGAGAGAGAGAGAGAGAGAGAGAGATGACAGAGTAATGGAGAGATATATGATATAATGACAGAGAGAGATATATACATGTATATATGACAGAGAAAGGGAGATATGACAGAATAATAGAGAGAGAGAGATGACAGAGTAATAGAGAGATATATGATAGAATGACAGAGAGAGAAAGAGAGAGAGAGTGGGAGATATGACAGAATAACAGAGAGAGAGAGAGAGGGGGATAATAGAATAACAGCGAGAGGGAGATGATAGAATAACAGAGAGAGAGAGAGAGATGATAGAATAACAGAGAGAGAGAAGTGATGGAATCACAGAGAGAGGGGGGGGGGGGTAATATAAATAGATTCAAGGTTTGATGTCAGCACATAAGAATGATTTTTACTTGTATTTCAAGTTTACATTATGAAGATGTCTATTTTGATAGTCCACATATACTGTAGTGTCATTACATTTTACAGCATATATTATAATTTTCATCCCACATTTATGTTGATGAACTTATTCATTTAAGAACAATATTTCCCATATATCAAAAAGAGAAGGAAAGCAACATATATCTAAAAAGAGGAAACACTGGAAAGCAATACATCTCACTCGTATGACACTTCTTTTAATTTTTCAAGAACAGAAGTCAAATAAATACATTATATACATAAAGTTGATCTGTATAAGACAGTTACATATGGAATACTAGAAATAATGCTAGGACGGAAATGGAAATGAATACTTTATACACACATATACATTAAATATTTACCATGACACTGTAATAAGCTACAGAAAAAAGGCCTCTGAATATGTGTATTATGTACATTTTTATAATGAAATTTCAAGGATTAAATTTGTTCTTTGTTACTGCATAGAACTTCATCTAAGAAAAAGACTTCATTCATTGTTTTATCAGTTCATATAAGAATCCAATGTCCAATATACAGTAGTAATAATCAATAAAATTATATTCTCTCTTTTCTGTAAATCTTCAATTCCTTGGTAAATTCTTAATAAGTATTTAATTTATATGTACCCGGTATACATTCTTAAGTTTTCTGACTGCAATGGCTTGCTGCGAGACTTTCTTAAAAATGCAATTTCATCCTCCTTTTTATGGATCCAGAAACTTGTTTGAATTGTTAGAAATTCATATGCACATGTACGTAAACATACATACATGTAATAAATATACTATATTATATATATATATAATAACTAATGGCTGTTTTTATGTTCCACAAAGTTCACACTACATTAACAGGTCGGTGTAGCATTCAAGTAATTAAGTTCTAACCAAAGTACTTCCTCACAAAGTAAGAAAATGATCAATGAGAATTATATACACAGAGAAAGAGAGAGAGGTAGATTTACAATAAAAAAATTATCTTGAAGGCTCAAGGCTTTGTTGAAAATGTTATCTGAAGGCACGAAGCATGTAATAAGTTATAGATCATGTCAACAATGGCACTTATACAGAGTAAAGCTTGTTCAGATATGGGGCAGTAAACAACCACAAAAAACTTGTTTTTTTATGTGTACATGAATGGCAACTGCAAGAAACAAAGATCTACCGGTAATACACGTATGCACTGAGCTCTGTGTTATAATATACAGAAATGTGTAGCAGATTACACTTTACGCCGTCATAAAAAACTCTGCGGTTTTGCCACGTCATATCTGAACAAGCTCTGAAAGGTCACAAAGGTTTGCACGAACGATAATTTTGTACGAATCTCCGTTTTTCCATTGTCTTCCCGAATTTCCACTGTCTGAAAATCGTTTGTACGGCATTCGTAGCAGTTCATAATGGCATTTGTGACTGAGGCTTTAGATGAGAAATACAAGCAGGAAGAAAGAGAGATGGACATATTTACAATAAAATATCTTATAGGCACAATATTTTCTCAAAAACTATAATCTTTGTACATAAGCAATAAAGGCATATATTGATCGTGATCTTCTATTGCAATATGAATCAGAGGAAAAAAAATATTTTGTTCAAAAATGTCAGAGCGCAATATAAATATATAACAAGAAGACATTCTATACATTAGCACAAGGCTCAAATTTTCAATGCAAAGAAAATGGTCAAAAAAGAAGTCAATGAATTAGTTTATACACAATAATTTCATGACTAGATGGATTATCACTCAATTAGTCAAAGGATTTGGTTTGCAAGAATATTACTTGTGTCTTGTCCATCATACACACTACACAAGACACATTATTTTTGCATAGAGAATTGCATAGCAGTATTTATAGGATGTCCATCGTATCCTCTTTCCTTTTGTTTTTGTCATTGGGGAACGGATAACTTACAGAAGCTGTATCTTGAAAGGGAAATGATGCCAATTATCTTCTTTTTTTATTGCGCAGAATCAGCATTCACTGTTTTGAATTATTTCATGCACTGTCGATTTGCCAGCACTTTACACGGACATCCCAGTTTAGCTGTATGATAAGCTGCTATCGGGATTATTTTTACAAGGTACATGGTAACAATTATCACCAGTTCTTGCATGAGCAGATCATCTTTCAATTTTTAGGTGAAAGGGCGTGGCCAGCTTTGAACAAACATTAACCAATGACTTGTCTTAATATTTAATTGTTATCACAATAGGTTTTACTAACATAAAGATAACAGCATTTTCAGTATACCACTTAGATCTATCGTTATTTGGATTCAAGACAAAATAAATACTATTGGAATGTTTACAGTACATCAATAACATGCTAAAGGCTCAAATATGAGTTACTGAATATTTACAAGAATCGCCTCAAAGTATTTATATGTTTCCCTAAGAAACATCATTGTTGTTTCTATAGTGGCACAGTACAAAATATTGTTCCTCTACATCAGACATCTTTATAAACACAACGATATAGTTTTTCATATATATCTTACATATTTTTTTACAATGTGTGACCAAAACAAATTTCCATGTATTCCTGTGAATTTGGATGAATAAAAGAATTGAATTGAAATGAATAATGCAAAAATATTAGAACTATCTGTAAATGGTACATTGCATATTAATCAGAAATAGGCACTAGTGTATCACTTAGAAAAGTTATTTCAGTTAAACTTCCGCAGTATGATTCACAACATTTCAAACTTTGAAGGATAGAAAATTTAGACTTCAGACATGTATACTACCACATATTCTTCATAGTTTCTCTTTAAAAAAAAAAAACAACATTTGTTCAGATTTAAATACGCAAACTTAATGCATGGTTATCTATGGTGTATATAATACATCAATATCTATGTGATCACATTACTGCACAATAAAGAACAAAATTAGTAACAATTAGTTCTCGCAGTTAAAAAACTGTTTAAAATGAAATAGTTGTCACTTTACATAGCCGATCCTAAGACAAGACTATTCTATGATGTGCAACAAATCTTGGTCTGTAACTATTCATGGATCTGCTCTCGTTTTTTAACATAATGAAAATTAATTCCTAAGTGAATTTTACAATATATATGTAGTTCTAAGAGTAAAGGATGTTTAACATACAATCCAGTTTCATGGATCAGTATAAATATATATATATCTCCAACATAATGACCATCTATTCCTTACAAGTCCATGACTAAAGAAGTTTCACATAACTCATTGTTTCAGTGCATAATTTAGCTCTGTCATCAGATATGCATTTTGTTCATTTCTTTCTGGATTTTGCTGACCCTCGTGAACTGACTGATGCCCTGGAAGTCGGACGAGACGGTGAGGCGCTGGTCTTCCTTCCAGGCGTGGGCGGGGGCGAAGGAGTAATGGTGGGGGTAGGCAGGGGGCCGACGCCCGCTACTCCAGGCCTCATCAGGGGTGTTGACTGCTCCCCCATGGTGTCCTTGGTGAAGGAGGTGAAGGGGGTCTCTGCAGGGGACATCATGGCCGAGCCTGGAGCGGTTGTGCTGGCTTCTTCAGTGATGGGTGCCTCAGGGGCTGTCTTGGGGGGCTCGGTCGACGCCCCCAACACCGGGCCAGGGGTTACGCTGAGGATGGCTGGGGTGGCGCTCTTACGTTCAACGACACGCATCCGTTCCTGGAGTGTCTTCAACTCCTCCTCAAGCTCCTGGACCTTCTCTTCTGCTGTTTGTGCTCTCTCCTCAGTTGTACTGTTACAATAAAGGTATACACAGAAATGATTAAAAGAACAAAATCAACATCAAACTCATATTACAAGTACATTTGAATTACAGAAATCCAGCTGCCAGTCATTTTTAATTGTCTCATCACATAAAAACTGAAAGAACATGAAATCAGCTGTACATACTCCAGTTCAGACAAAAAGATACAGCAAGTTAAGCACCAAAGATAGCTTAGCATATTGTAGTGGAATGAAATGATGTATGATGCTCAAAGAACAACAAAATAAAAAAAAAGCATTATTGTTGATGATGTCAATGCATTTAACTTGTATTGGGACTGGAGGTGTCAAAGTCCAGTGAATATGACTCTGGACTTTATGTATATAAATGATAAGGTACAGAGTTTGAATCCCTGCAAAAGTACCAACATCCTTTGGCAATTAGCATTGAATCTGCATTTGCCACTCTCCACCCAGGTGATGCAAATAATGTGAGGTGGGTTTTCTGACATGATAATAAGACATCTTTCAAGAATTCCATATTCTTGCTCCACAAGAGCTTTACCAAGATAAAAGAAAGCATGGGAGAATAACTTACACTAGCTGTTGTTGAAGGCTCTTGACAGCTGTGAGAGCCTCGTAAGCCTTAGATGTGTCTGGGGTCTTGGAGGCAGCGCCCAAAACCTTGGCAGAAGTCGCCTCTTTAGGGGCCGACTGAAATTGGAAAAGATATTGAACAACAAATTAATATTACAAAATTGTAGTTGAGTGAATGTGCTTTGGTGTAGGTCAAGCATATACAAAATATTTAAGTATACTTCTGTATATATTAATGTATTTGTAATCAAAATTACAGAAAAATCTCTATTATTTTGGTTTAAGGTCCATTGTTTCTTCCTCTCTTAGTTGTACTGTTCTCATCATGTCTGTACGAGAATAAGTCTGACACTGCGTCAGTCCTTTCTTTCTTTCAAACTCTAAAAAATTATTCCCATCCTGGTTGTTCTCTGCAAGGGCCTACAGTGTATTATCCCAAAATTCCTCTCATTTTGATTGTTATCAACTCTTTTCCTTTCTTTCCTTTGTAAAACAAGAAAACATGTCCTTGCTTTGAACACTTATCTGTCGTTTCTGCTCTCCCTCTTTCTCTATATGGTCATCTTCTGCCCATTGTCTTTATTCCCCCATTGAACTCATGCACTTGACAAACATGTATATATATATATTTAAAGATGTGTAAGAAATAAATAAATAAATAAATAAATATAGGTCAATACCTGAGAGGGTTGGTCCTTGAATTCATCTAGGCTTTGGGTCCAGACATTCTGATCATATCCCAACACTTGCATCTCACTCATGTTAGTTAGGTCGTCTGCACCTGGAGTAGAACCTGGCAAGACGGAACGCTGACTATTGGCTGTTGAAGGAGTCTATACAGGCAAAACAGAGATATCAAATTGATGGCAGATTGGCAGGGGAGCTAGAATTGAAATATTCATGAATTGTAAGAAGGATGGAAAGGGGGGGGGGCAATAAATTGGAACACTGCTATATTTTCTTACACCTTTGACATGTATGTGTATAACAAAATAACATGTTACTTCTTCTATATTAATGCAGACTTGAAGATAATCCTCTGACGAGCATATCAATTTTGATGACAAAATATTGGGGTGATCCCATAATGGTGGATCAAAATAAATCTAGCTCTTAATTCTCCAAAATACAAGCTGCGACGATAAAGACATCATGCACTCACCTTATTCTGATTGCCAGTGGTTGGTCGAGCTGCTCCTACAGGGGGTGCCAATGGGGCAGCTAGTGGGGCTGATTTAGGGGTCTCAAGACGTTGGGTGGTCAGGGTGTCTGCGGTGCCAGGGGGCCGGTCTGACATTGTGATGGGGGTCTCGGTTCCTACAAGCTGTTGGGTCAGAGGTGAGACGGTAAGGTTTGTGAGTTGATTAGACTTGGGGATAACTCTCAACCCTTCTCTGTCTTTGCTTCTTTTATCTGCCTTTCAACACCTAAGAGTTTTTTCCAACTTCTCTTGCTCTCTCTCCTGTCTCTTTCTCTCTCCCATTCTCTTCCTCCTTTCTCTTTCTCTTTACTGTATCTTTGTCTGTTTGTCTGTCCCTCTTTAACTCTTTCTCTCCACTCCTCTCTAGCTCTTCCCCTCCCTCGATCTACTTAAACTTCTGTTTTCTTGTAAATAATGTCTTTCCTTCTACCTCATCTCTCCAAAACAATCTCAAACATTGCAGAACTCCCCCCCCCCCCACACTTTCACACACATCTTTCTTTCTTTCTTTCTCACCTCTCCTCTGTCTGGCATGCCAGGAGTGAAGGCCCCCTGGCTATCCATCCTTGGGTCCCCGCCCTGCACACCTTCCGGTACATGAAGGGGCGTCGGCAGCTCCTCGCCACCGAGCCGAGCCATCTCAACGCTCCGGACCTCGTCCATTAGGATGGTTGCCATGTGGATCCACTCGCTGCACTCGGACCTGATCTTCCTGAGGTCTCGGGACTCCTGGTCAGCGTTCTGTTCACCGTTGTCGATCTTCTGCTGCATCTCGGCCGAAACGATGCTTGAACAGCAGCTACATAAAAAGATACAACATCATACTTAACTCTTATCCTGCCATAATGAATACAGCGCGCCACAGGGCTAATCCCCATTGTGCCTAGCCACAAATCCCCCCTGTGCCAAGTTTATTTTGAGATAATTTGATGGTGCGATCAATAGCGCTAGCAAAGCACTCAGCACAGTACAATGAGCATGAACAATAACTGCTATTACAAATACGAACATGCATGCATAAAGCAGCTTTGCTGTGGCTCGCTTGGGTGAAAAGCAGCCAATCGATAGCGTGCTTGGTGTACAAAGCACTACTACGGTAGCGTGCTTGCGGCCTTATGGCAGGATATGAGTTAACAAAGCAATAGCCAAATTATATCTCAACCACCTTTGACCAAATGTCATCAATATTGTCAAAGAGCATCCCTGACCCAAGTTTGGTTGTGCTTGGAACAATGTATGCAAAGTTACTAGTCAAAATAATATAGTCTTGAGGGCAAACAAGGAGGGTCAAATCTGACTGACATGAGCGCTATACAAGAACCTATTATTATTATTATTATTTAAACACTTACATCTAACCTAAAATGTTATTTGTCACGAGATGATAGATGCCATTTGGATCCCTTAGTCTCCACTTTACCTTCGGTGGGTGAGACAAATATCATGATTTGTTTCATTAATATTGTATGTGCCCGGCTGAAGTGTCAGCATGGATGTGCAGCAATGGATGTAAATATCAATAAAAGAGCATTCCAAAGTTTTGAACATTCTTTGACCACATCTATGTAACACATTTCAGTGCATATATTTAATAATATAATTACCTTCAGTAATCAAAACCAAACAGTTTAGAAAGCTGACAGAGTGGTGTGAACATATGCCGTACACAATTTGACATAATGTGAAGGTATAATTACAACAGTGTTAATATTTGGACATTGGTAAACTTAAATTATCAACACTCATCTCATATGTCATTGGTAGAGGAATACCACTTGACCTAAATTTGAGAAGTGTGGGGAAGGGATGGAAATAATATGTTCTGCTGTAAACAGGGATGCCAGTTAGAATTGATAAGAGGGCCTGAAAATCACCTAGAATGAGCTATTTTGTACAAAAAAAAGCCTAATTGTCTGGAAATAACTCGCCAGGGTCTCAATTCAGGCTACATTGCCTGAAAACTGGCATCCCTGTGTAAAACAGCTCATAATGACAAGCTTTTCAATCTGTTTTTGAGCATTCATGTTCTTCAAACTAAATGTCATTAATGGTTGAAATCCACTTCTCATGTCCATTGCTCCTTCACATTCGCTTTTTTGTAATCATGTGAGTGTGTGTGCATGTGTATTGGGTTTTTACAGACGTGTATTAATCAGATATGATTATTTACGTCTGGGGAACAACCTTTAAACGTCACCATCCGAAAGACGTGACTCAGTTTTGAACCTGCGTCCTCGGCTGAATCAGTTTGTAACTTCCATTGTTAGCTGGATTACAGGCGCACTCCACAACGCCTGCATGGGAGGCAAACTTTACCTTGTAATATAATTTGAGAAGGCCGTGATGCGATCAAAGAGACCCACAACCTTCTCCTGTATCTTGGTGAGACTCCACGCACTGGCCATGCAGGCATCAATCACCTCCTGAGGGCTCTCTGGAGGGTTAGGGGCCAGACGAAGCAGGACCTGGATCATCCAGTGGACCATGTCTGCATGTAGGACCGAGACCTGATACACAAATACCACATCAATATTAGGGATTCAGTCTCAAAAGTATTGCAAGCTTATCCATGATTTTTCGTTACCTATGAGGTATCAAGAACTCTTTTCACCAAGAATTTGCAATTTGATATTAACTACAGCACATCTATGCATTAACATATTGCATAAGATTCTACATAAGCATCTTGTTAGTCAAAGATGCAGGGATAACCATGGCTACTGCACTTCTCCATCATAAATACAGGGCCATGGTAAATATCATACTGCCCATTCAATGGCCTAATTTTGTACATGAATGGCATAAATTAAACAAATGCACATCACATTAACATTGGATATGCACAGCAAAAAGGCAGACAATGCAGAGTCTTATGGTCCACATTGAGAGTCATTAGTGAGACAATCTTGGCAGGCATATTGTGCAAAAAAATCCATGTTTTAAGGATGTATATCTGGGATGTAGCTTATATACATGTAATAATGTTTATTTTTCAGGTTACATTTAAACTTCATGTAGCCCCTTATAATGACCTACAGACTGTGCTTGAATTCACCTCAGGGCATAATTCAGTTTCGAGATCCTTTGGAAGCAAAAGTACTATTCTTCCTCAAGTTCAAAGCAGTCAATATTTGTATGATCAAGTATAAAATGTATACAGTACATTGTCTGCTGAGAGCAAGAAGGGTTAATTTAACTCATATGCTTTTACACAGAGTTAATAGCCTTCTTGCTCTCAAAATGATTGAAGGACATTATGCATAAATGACATTGAAATTCTCAAACTTAGGAGGTGACTATAGTAGAGGTACAGTTCCTCACCTGTTCCATGAGTTTAGAATCCTGGCTATCGATACCATTGATGGTGGTAGCGACCCATTTCTGAGCTAGTCTGAACACCTCTTCCTGGATCATGCTGTACAAAGAAAGTGATAGGAAAAAAAAGATACAATTGTCTGAACACTGCTTTGCTTACATTCTGAATATGTTGGAACGCAGAAAATATCATGCTTATACGTGTTCATCATCCATATGCACCTGTACAATCTAACCTACCGGTATATACAAATTCTACCTAAGGGAAAAGTGGATGAAACCATGGCATTGTAGACAGGTGGCCTTTCTAGACAGGTTCTAGTATACATACTTCCTCCTAGCAAGAGGGATATGGCCTTATAAATTTATAGTCACATGTTCAACAGTTGATCAATCCAATTCACTTTGTTTATTCTTCCATATACTGTTACAAGGAAAGTTGACATGGGATTTTTTTTCTTACAAGCAACATTTGTCCTATAGAAACACAAAATATCCACAGAAAACTAGTGATCTTCACCCATAGAGAAGTTCATATTTACGTACTGGGATGGAAGGGCTCTACCACTGAACCACTAGCTACCCCTCCTTAATGCCATGACATCAAGTTTCATCATTCCTCTTTCTTTTTCTCCTCCTCAAATTGGTACTTACGGGTTGAAAGGTTTCCCTTCTGCCTTGTCATCCTCGGACTGTTCTGAGCCGATGTTCTGCTCGACCTCGTTGATAGTTCTTATCCAATCAGAGAAGAGCTCATAAAGACGAAGCCACTCTGCTTCCATGGGCATAGCGCCCCCATTGAGGATGCTGTTCAGTTTGGTGTCCCAGCTCTCTAGAGCATTGGTGATCTGGATGAACCCCTTGGCAGTGCCTGCACAATTAAAGATTTCAAAGATTTATAGTGTTGCTAGATTTCTTGCTTGGTTGATGTTATAAAATTACAACACACAGATATATTTTTTCTTTTACCTTCAACCTCAGACCAAATACTATACCTAACCATAACCCTAAACTTTACCTAAAACCCTAACCCTAAATTGCTGATGGAAAAGCTGTGTGAATAGTTTGCAAGAACAAACATCAGATCACCTATAGAGAGGTTTCACATCATGTGCAAGCTTCCCAAACCCATTTGTCACCTTTCTTGATTAAAATCTAGTGTTTTGTTAAAGCTCAAGTTAAATTGTCTGACAAACTTCAATGTCACTTGATGAAAAAAAAAAGATTTCCTTTACTGTATACCCTGTCAAAAAAAAGGTCACATTTTCTCAAACCCCAGACAAATGACTAAACTATGGGTATTCAATGGGGGTCTATTCGCTATTCATAAGGACCGCTATTCATAAGGTCCGCTATTCATAAGGACCGCTATTCATAACGTGCAAATTCCCGTACTTCCGGGTCCGCTATTCATAATGGCAAAAGAGGGTCACTATTCATAATGAAATAAGGTTCGTTAATCATAAGGACCGCTATTCATAACGTGAGATGAGGGTCGCTATTCATAATTCATATTAAGGGTCATTAATCATAAGGACCGCTATTCATAATATGAAATCAGGGTCGCTATTCATAATACAACGAGAGGGTCGCTATTCATAATACGAAATAAGGTTCATTACTTATAAGGGTCGCTATTCATAACACGGGAAGAGGGTCGCTATTCATAATAGGAAATGAGGGTCGCTATTCATAACAGGAGAAGAGGGTCGCTATTCATAATAGGAGGAGAGGGTCGCTATTCATAATAGGAGAAGAGGGTCGCTATTCATAAAAGGAGAAGAGGGTCGCTATTCATAATAGGAGAACAGGGTCGCTATTCATAATACGAAATGAGGTTCGCTATTCATAATAGGAAAAGAGGGTCGCTATTCATAATAGGAGATGAGGGTTGCTATTCATAATAGGAGAAGAGGGTCGCTATTCATAAAAGGAGAAGAGGGTCGCTATTCATAATAGGAGAAGAGGGTCGCTATTCATAATACGAAATGAGGTTCGCTATTCATAATAGGAGAAGAGGGTCTTTATTCATAATAGGAAATGAGGGTCGCTAATCATAATAGAAGAAGAGGGTCGCTATTCATAATAGGAGAAGAGGGTCGCTTTTCATAACAGGAGAAGAGGGTCGCTATTCATAATACGAAATGAGGTTCGCTATTCATAATAGGAGAAGAGGGTCTTTATTCATAATAGGAAATGAGGGTCGCTAATCATAATAGAAGAAGAGGGTCGCTATTCATAATAGGAGAAGAGGGTCGCTTTTCATAACAGGAGAAGAGGGTCGCTATTCATAATACGAAATGAGGTTCGCTATTCATAATAGGAGAAGAGGGTCTTTATTCATAATGGGAAATGAGGGTCGCTAATCATAATAGAAGAAGAGGGTCGCTATTCATAAAAGGAGAAGAGGGTCGCTATTCATAATAGGAAATGAGGGTCGCTAATCATAATAGGAGTAAGGGGTCGCTATTCATATCATATATTCATTTCTCTTCAAATCCTCTTCTTTCTCTAATAATTTAATGAAACATCAAAGCTTCCACGTTTTGCGCGGGAGGGGGGAAACTGAATTCAGACAAGGATTAAGAGTCGAGAATGGAACAACGAATCATCTTCTTTCTCTAATAATTGCATTAAACAATGAAAGGTCAAAGCTTACGCGCTTTGCGCAAGAGGGGGGAATAGAATTCAGACAATTATTAAGAGTCGAGAACGGTACAACAAATCGTAATTTTTCTCTAATAATTAATGAAAGGTAAAAGCGAGGGGGAAAACTGAATTCAGACAAGGATTAAGAGTCGAGAATGGTACAATAAATCGTCTTCTTTTTCTAATAATTAATGAAAGTTCAAAGCTTTCGCGCGTAATGGGTGGGGGAGGGGGGGGGGGGGGGGGGACAGCAAGCTGCCCGAATATGAATTTTTGATATCTTTTCTCGTTTATCTTGGTGATAAATAACACTTTCACAAAAAACATATAATGCTCAAATTTTTGCTCGCTCGTTTCGCTCACAAGCAGAATTGTGAACTAGAAAATAATCGGGCAAGAGGCTTTAGCCCCCCCCCCCCCCCCCCAGATGAAAATGTCAAAAAAATGTATATCTTAAAAACGGGGAATGTTGATATCGGACAAGAGACGTGAAGTGAGCTTGCACCCCTTTCCAAAATTGTTCCTGCTTCTAGGTACCCGTATCGTGCTTCTAATATGACCTTGTCAGTATTGGTATGTTGAGTTGAAAAAACGGTCTGCACATTTTTCAAATTTCCGTCCCCCCCCCCCCCCAATTGGAAAATTCTGGATCCGCGCCGAGGCGTACTGATGGGGGGGGGGGGGGCTCGGGGGATCGGTAGATACTGGGCTTAGGTCCAATTGTCAGGTCCAATTCCGCTCAGTAATTTGTAGGTCCATAAGTCCTAATAAAAATTACTTTCTACAAAAACATTATTGTCGTATAAACAATTACTAGTTTCTGAAATAGCAAGCTAAAATGGATAATGGGCCTGCTTGGCGTACTTAATATCTCAGTGGCGTAGCCTGGATAAGATCAGTCGGGGGCAGGGTGATGGGGCAAGATTTCCAACAAGGAGGAAAATTTACGATAGGATTACATGTGTGTTATGTTTTACTTTTTTTTCGTCACCACATGAGCGGGGGTTGGCTCTATATAATTATCAAAGATAACAGATAAAATATAGTTACTTTAAAAAGAGACAACTATTCAGGGCTATATATCGTCCCCCCCCCCCCTACAGGACCAGGAACGTAGCCAAGGGGGGGGGGGGTATTATGAATAGCGAACCTCATTTCGTATCATGAATAGCGACCGTCTACTCCTATTATGAATAGCGACCCTCATTTCTTATTATGAATAGCGACCCTCATTTCGTATTATGAATGGCAACCCTCATTTCATATTATGAATAGCGACCCTTATTTCTTATTATGAATAGCGACCCCCTACTCCTATTATGAATAGCGACCCTCTTCTCCTATTATGAATAGCGACCCTCTTCTTCTATTATGAATAGCGACCCTCATTTCTTATAATGATTAGCGACCCTCTACTCCTATTATGAGTAGCGACCCTCTTCTTCTATTATGAATAGCGACCCTCTTCTCCTTTTATGAATAGCGACCCTATTCTCCTATTATGAATAGCGACCCTCTTCTTCTATTATGAATAGCGACCCTCTTCTCCTATTATGAATAGCGACCCTCATTTCTTATTATGAATAGCGACCATCTACTCCTATTATGAATAGCGACCCTCTTCTTCTATTATGAATAGCGATCCTCTTCTCCTAGAATAGCGACCCTCGATCATTTCTTATTATGAATAGCGACCCTCTACTCCTATTATGAATAGCGACCCTCTTCTTCTATTATGAATAGCGACCCCCTTCTTCTATTATGAATAGCGACCCTCATTTCTTATTATGAATAGCGACCCTCTTCTCCTATTATGAATAGCGACCCTCTTCTTCTATTATGAATAGCGACCCTCTTCTCCTTTTATGAATAGCGACCCTCATTTCTTATTATGAATAATGACCCTTATGAATAATAACCCTTATGAATAACGACCCTCATTTTGCATTATGAATAGCGACCCTCATTTTGTATTATGAATAGCGACCCTCATTTCGTATTATGAATAGCGACCCTCTTTCTGTGTTATGAATACCGACCCTTTTGTAATATTATGAATAGGGACCCTTATGAATAACGACCCCGTTTTCCTATTATGAATAGCGACCCTCTTCTAATATTATGAATACCGACCCTCTTCTTTGATTATGAATAGCGGTCCTTATGAATAATGGCCCTTATGAATAATGACCCTTTTCTCCAATTATGAAAAGCGGACCTTATGAATAGCGGTCCTTATGAATAATGGACCTTATGAATAGCGGACCTTATGAATAGCGGTCCTTATGAATAGCGACATTGACCCATTCAATGACCTTCCTAGAAAAGAACATTTTAAATTAACCCCTTTAATATGTATATTTCCGACAGTTTCATTACCAATAAATAAAAACATACCATTTTCTCCATTCACTCTGGTGTGGAACTGCTTACACATAGCTTCACAAACCTAATATCAAAGCAAAATATAAAGATGCTCATGATAAATATAAATAAAATGAATTTCAAATAATCTTCCTGATGAGAAAACATTTTGCACTTCAAAAATAGACTACAAGACTAGCTAGTAATGCAATAAGTCATTATAAGTGTTAGGGCACTAATTCAACTAATGGTTACTCTGACAAGTTCTTGAACTTTCATTTCATTGTTAGTCTTTAATTCTAATGAACAAAAGTATGTTGGTCTTTAGTACTTACATGTACCAGTTTAAGTTACCATTCTTCAGACCGTTGAAAACAATCATTTTGGTTTTGGGGGGAGGGGGGGGGGGGGGGGTAGAGCAAGATTGTTTTCTTTACTTAACTTCACCTTTTACAAGTGCTTGATATAGTTTTTATTTTGTAAATGCACAATGTTCAATCATGCTGCATGAGCAAAATTGTTCTGATGGAAATGTCTGACCAAAATACAAAATCGTCCAAAAACAAGATAAACATTTGATTCATATATCATTTAAGAATTTCCACTGCAATGTACACACATATATACATAACATGCAAACAAATCTAAAATTTGTGGAAAAAAATTGATGGAATTAGTAAACAAAAAACAAAAAAAACAAAAAAAGTCAATAGGGTGAAGAGGAAAATACTGATGTGGTACAACTTCATACAAATATCAATACAACTGTTGATAAATTATGAAAACACTAGGGTAATTGGATTAGTGACACAGAAAAGGAGAATTCAATCATAATCCATTGTATGGTTTTATACTAGTAAAATTTGTTCAATTTACTCTGTATTTGTAACCTTTAATATGTACAGGGCCTCACAGGAAAACAGTTTTAATACTGAGAGTTACCCTGCTCAAATAAAACAAATAAATAGATAAATAAATAAATAAAACAAATTGGAGTATAGACGTGACATAATTCTTCCTCTGTCTTTCTGTCTTCCATCTTCACCTTGCTCTCTCTCATTTTCTTTTTCTATCTCTCTCCCTCTCAAATCTATCACTCCCCAGATGAATTTAAATTTTCAGATATGTGCAAAGTAAGTGATATAAAAAGAATGTGATTTTAGATTATCTCAGGTAAGAAAAGTTAACTTGTTATCTTACATTTTCATTCAATACAAAGTACACATCACTGCAAAACATCTATTTATCAGTACACTCATTTAAAATCTGACACTGTGAGAATGTGAAGTCAAGTGAAATTTTACAAGGGAAAAAAAATTCTCATTACCTCTTTCAAGCGCTAACATTGTACATTGGAAATGCAAATAAAAGGACATATATTCTAATTAATCAAAATGCAACACAAAATTATAAAAAATGACACTCATACAAAACTTTGTAAAACAGAACATTGAGCTAGGCTACTGGCAAAAGGTTAGCAAGCTTTTTTGTAATGGGAGAGTTACTATTTGTATCTACTCTGATTAAACTGAAAAATGTGATTTCATGATCAAAATTGCTGCACATATGACTCTAATATTTTACATGATTTAATACATTTATATCAAGTAACATGGGCAATGAACAAAGGAGTAACCTGCATATTAGATAAATTTTACTTAATCGAAATAATAGAAGTATAATTTATATTTTAAACAGCTTTATAAGAAATTAAAATGCTTTTTAATAGTGAAACCTCCCCAAAATAGCTAACTGGAATACAAGATTTCTCTCTTGTGATACCTATCTTTTTCATAATTTTAAAAAGGCATTTATTTTAATTAACTTTATTTCCTACAGAAAAACTATCTACTGTCAGTAACAAGATGTAAAATGAATGCAATGATCTTGATGCTGAGAGGAAATACTTCTAAGAAACTAATGGCCCAAGTAAATTACTTTATGACAGAAAATGGCTCAATGAAATCAACTTTGAATATTAATGTACGTTCTCTCTCTAGTAGATTTAATTCCTTTCAAGTTTATTCCATCCTGAAACTAGCTAGAGAAATGTGTCCCCGCAATTGTCATGAGATATGTATTTGACTAATGCACATTTCAAATTTATTCTTGATCTCATCCAAGTAAACAAAATTCTTCAGAAAGTTAATAGCACCACTTGCTAGAATATGATTCCTTAACCAAACTCTTGAAATCGTTTGCTAGTAATGCCACGTTTGATGAAACTTTTGATTGAAAAAGATAGAGAAGTCTGGATATATCTCATTTTGTAAGCTCTTTGCATTGCAAATGGGTTCAGTTTCTCAACTTCTCAGTAGATTCTCTAGATCTTGGGGTTTCTTCAGAAGGCATATAACTAGGAATACCCAGTAAGCACCGTGAAATGGACTTGTGGAGTGGAAATCGGTGTTATCAGGTTTCATTTGAAGAAGAAAAAATGTTAAGTTAAATCATCAAAAAGTTTCACTTCCTAAAAAAGTATTTGAAAATTTGCCCTCCTACTTTTAAGCTAAGATTAACACATCAAAACTTTACCTCTGTTGTCTGCGGGATGAGGCCATGATGAAGTGAACAAAACGGAACAAATAAACAAATAAACATAAACAAATGATGATGTCAATACAAATATGGATGTTATGAATGAAAAGTGTCGAATGGACAAAGCAAAGCTATTTCATTGGCAATACATGTTTTGCAGATGAGAAATAACATTGCCCTTATTCGTAAAACATTTCAAAACAAAGTTTTGTAAACAAGTTAATAGTAACAAATGGTTTCAATACAAATGCATGGGTTATAACAATAGATGAAATGTGCAAATGTTATCCAACATTGATTCTGTAGGCCAGTCAAAGCTTGAATAAATAGAGCTTATTATATGTTGCAAATGGCCAAATTGTTTAATAATAATAATAATAATAATAATAATAGCCTAATAGTCCACTCCAAATTTTATTAAACCGAAACGGAAATTCTTTTTGCCCAATTGATCGTGAGCCCGGCAGCCACTGAGCAGCGCCAGATCGACATTGCTCTATCCCTTATTGTTGAATGCCAAACAAGGTAGCAACAACTCCCATCTGTTAACGTCTTTTGGTATGACGCGGCCGGGGTTCGAACCCAAAACCTCCCGGTTGTGAGGCGGACGCTCTACTGACTGAGCCAACACTCCGGTAAATGTGATACATAAAATGAATATTACAGTGCAAAGTGTTAGATCCATGTACAATTTCAGGGCTTGTTTTATCATCCTTGTATTTCACTTGGAAAATAAACATGCTTTCATTTTGATACTTGTACATGAATTGTTTTAATGATTATGCATAAATGTATGATTAGACATATTTTCTGATTAATTTCCTTTTGTGTAAAAACTTAAGTGAAATTAATATATATACTGAGACTAGAACAAGAAATTAAACAAACTGTAACTGAATATTTTCTTGTCTTATTAATAACATGTGTGCAGAAATAAAGCTGATTCATGATAATGAGTTAGTCAAAGAAGCCGGAACAAATATTGGTTTCCTGTGTAGTGCTGAGGTGACAGGTTGCCTTTGAAATACTTTACTATCAATGATAGTTAGTATGCGGTTATAATATGGCACTCAAGGACAGGATACAAATAGTTACAGATATGGTAAACTGATCATGGCCCTGGTCAACTATTACAAGTTAGTATACTTGATATAAATTAGTTACAGAATTGTGACTGTTGTTAACTGTAATGAGAGTTTTGTGAAACCGGGTCCTCAACTCACCAAGTTCATTTCCACCAGCTTTTCATGGTCAGGATACTCGGAACCATCAGTGGGCATGTGCCGGCTGAAGATCTGGATGGCCGTCTCCGTCCACTGATCGGTCTGTTTCTTAATGTCATAGAGGCTCTCCTCGTGACCCAGGAGAATGTCCCCACCAAACCTCTCCACTTCCTTGTTCAAATTCTATTCAGAGAATGAGAGAGAGTAAGAGAGTGTGAGAGAGTGTAAGAGAATGAGAGAGAGTGTGAGAGAGAGTAAGAGAGTGTGAGAGAGTGTAAGAGAATGAGAGAGAGTGTGAGAGAGGGAGTGAGAGAGAGAGAGAGGGGGTAAGATAGTGAGAGAGTGAAAGAGAGAGGGAGAGAAAGAGAGGGAGAGAAGGAGAGAGAGAGAGATAGTAAGAGAGAGAGAGAGAGAGAGGGGTGGAGGATTAAGAATGGAAGGAGGGAGGAGGAGACAGAGGATGGAAAGAGGAGAGTGACAAAAACACATTTGAGCAAAGTGATAGAAAACATATAATCTTGAAAAGACTGTGTTTTCAAATTGTGTGAGAAATATGATTCACTTCATCTTTCTCAATGGAATGATGACATTGATTATCTCTTTTTTAAATTTAAATCAAACCTTGAAAATAATGTGAATATATATATATATATATATATATATATATATATATGTCCAATAGGGAACATGTCTGTATAAGAGAAAACACACAACAAATTAAGAAAGATCACTACTTGAATAAATTTGAGTTTTAAAAAATACAAACAAAATTTGGTGAAGTGACCAGACACACTACAGCTTGTAATGGCCTATCAAACCATTGACAAGGTCACCGTCTTTCTAACACCACCAATATATTTTTGTTGATAGTACCCTACCTCTTCCCATAGACGGATGTCCTCATAAAGTGCTTGTATCATCTCTTTGCCAGGAGCATGCAGGATGGTGTTGATCTTATCACTGGCTCTGTTCAATTCAAACAAACAAACAAGAAGTTAATATTTATTCAATTCAAGAATTAAAAATAAGTTTGAATGCAATTGGATGTTGAAATACATGGTTTAAAATTAGAAATGTCTTCAAACACTATCAACTCTCATAATCATTACAAATACGGTACAGTGCATTTTAATCCTTTGTGATATAGTAATTCACAAAATTAACACATAGCATCATCATCTTTGTGACCTATGTAATACATCATAGGAGATTTTATCATTTTATTTCAATAAGTTTAAGTTGCATTTAAACATAAACTTTAATAGAAGAGGGCCAGGAATGTGTCTGGATTACTGTACAAAGAAAGTCCATCTCTTACACCACTTTTTTCATGAATATGTGAACTGATCAGAAAAATAACTTTCATTCTATAGATAAATGGCTATGTGTATGTAACTCCATATATACCCTATAAATGGATGACAGGGTTGTGGTGACGTACGTGAGTGGGTAATGTCGTTTATAAGAAGTATAACCAGATGATACCTGTGATTTGAATGGCAATGGCACCATGGGAGTCCCTGTAAACTTATAGGTGAAACACTCTAATAATCTCCCGTTAACCAAGTATAAACATAGATATTGCGCAATGTGTATATTCCCAGGTATAGCAACCCTACTGCTATATATGGTGTTCTATATCTACATAAAAATGTGAAATAAGTTCACTATCAACCAAAGTTACATCTGGGCCCTGTATTACAAAGAGTTGATATCAATCGCAACTTATTTGTGATTGATATCAATCACAACTATGTACATAAGAGATAGGAGACTGCAGACTTGTGATTGATTTAGGGACTTGATATTGATTCGGATCAATATCAACTCTTTGTAAGAAGGGGCCCTGAAGTGCAACTTGGTACAATATACCACTGTATGAAGTTCAAGCTTATTATTAATGAATTAGTAGTTGGTAATGAGTTCTACTGATTGATGCCCATCAATATATGAACCCTCCATATGCACTCCAAAATCCAAACACTGATGAAAATACAAGGATTATATACACCACACACTATTGACAAATCCTGGAATAAAATCATTCAAACAGATACAATAGACTTAACATAAATTGTACAAAATGTGTTTGTCTTCATGAGTATCAATGACAATCCAAACATGGAAATACAAGAATTACACCACAGACTATTGACAAATCTTGGAATATAAACTCATTCAAACAAAAACAATAGATTTCTACACACAAATTGTACATACATGTATATTTACTACATTGTGTGTTTGTCTTCGTGATTATCAATGACTCAGACTTGCAAAATTTGGCCATCATTATATAATGGAATTGGGAAGTTACAAGCAGTCATAAATGGATGCCCTCTAAAAATTTCAACAAAAAAATCAACAGCATCAAACAGTCAAAAAATCTAAGTCACTATATAGATGCTTAATAAAAATTCTCACCATTCAAAAAAGAACTTCTTACCAGGTACCAATTTTATACACTTGGGTAAATAAAGGAAAATTTTGTTCACAACATCTACAGAGAAAAGTATCTTGCCTTGAACAGTAAAAGGACATATATGTACAGTATAGAGGAAGAATGCATCTTCTCACCTAAAAAAATGTAAATGTGAGAACGGTGAGACAAAATACACAGTGACACCCAAGGACAAATATTCTGTGTTAAAGTGCAAGCTCAGCAAAGGTGCATGGTCCTCAATAAAGGTATATGCATGGTACCCGGTAAAGGTATATGCATGGTACCCGGTAAAGGTGTGTGGTGCTCCATGTGTGTGAAAGGTGCTAAATACAGGTGCATGATCTAAACAAAGGTGCAAGGTGTTCAATGTGTGTGCATGTAAGGTGCTGAATTCAGGTCCATGTTGCTAAAGAAAGATGTATGGTGCTCAGGTCCATGACCAGTGCTTAAGAAAGGTGCATGTATTCAATGTGTGTGTGCATGTTAGGACGGTACTGAATGCAGGTCCACGGTGCTTAAAAAAGATGAGTGGTGCTCATAATAAAGGTACATGATGTACATGGTGCTAAGCAAAAGTGCATGGTGCTACGTACAGCTCCATAGTGCTAAAGAAAAACACCTTAAACAGAATGGTGCTCTTTGCACAAGACAAAAACATATAAGTGTTATATATTAATGTGATATGGTGGAGGAAAAAAACTGTGAGAGTGCTGGTGTGAAAAAGGATCTGATTTGAATTCACCTGGATGACTGACGCCCAGACATAAAGTCTGACTCCACAATACTGGCTTCAAGCTGACCGCTGCATCCATCCATATATGATATCGTTAGAGATGGTCAAATAGTGAAAATCAGTCATGAATGAAGCATGCAAAATTAAATCATTTCATGCAGGAATCTGTCTTAATTAACAAATCAAGAAGCGAAAGTCTTACAAATAGGAATATTAAAATGATGCCCAATGGATACGGGCTTATTTCCATTATTAGTGAATGAAACATACACACAGTTTTTAAACACTTGTTCTTCATTTAAAAAAAAACATGCAGACATGCAGGCAATAAGGCTCCCCACTCCATTTGTAGACTTAGATCTATGATTCATGAGTAATCCAGTCAGATTAGGATTAATGATACAAAATGGAACAGTGCTTATTTTTATCACTAGTAAATGAAGCAGAATCCAATAATATTCAGGTTTATTTTGTTTTAAAAAAGACAGTTAGGCATACTTAATAAACAAGCAAACGGCTGCGTATTACGCTAAACAAAATCTAAACAAAAGTTTTTTAGTCAGATTATGAAGAAATTTATCATGATGGCAAAAAACATTTGTGCTCATTTTGAGGACATGAAAAAGTACAGGTCAAGACAAGGTTACTTCCAAATCAAAAGAAAGGATTGTTAACATGTAATTACCAATATTCCATGGACATTGAATTTGCACACTGACATTATTTACCTGACATTATTTGTGATTGTTTAATGTAAACCGAACAACAACCAATCTGACCAGTATTGGTGTAACCCAACAGTATGAGATTGATACCCACACCAATGACCTTGTGAGTGATCAGACCACTTTGTTAAATCATTGCTGTAGTGTGCAGCATTGTTTCTGCCATGTACATTTCACATTCACTTCCATAAAACAAATTTCACACTTACAATATATCAAAAAAAGAAAAATGTAGTAACCTTTTTCACCAACTTTTACAACAACCAATAGAAAATACAGTGTTGCCAAAGCACCAAAGTATTATTGAAACCTTCCAATTGTGAATACTAACCCACCATTGAAACCCTTAGAGAACCTTCTAATCAATAACAGTTTTACAAATTGTCTACTTGAAAGATATTCCCTGTACATCAAGACAAAATTATCATTTGAAACACAATGTGTCACAGATTATTAAAGTACCAACCGCCACCTTAAGAATTATGAAACTTTATATTTATCCAAAATTACCTGACTCTTTACTAGTTTTGTCTTAAAGAAAGTAATGCAAACAAATGAAAGAAAACCCAAATGACCAAGGCTCCATACAACGTTATACACATTTTCATAGAGTGCTTAACATTCTTTTTTTTTTAATTATAAGAAAACCCAATGTCACAGTTTCCATTGCTAGCAAAAGAAAACTGAAAATCAAAGCTAGAAATGCCCATTATCCTGCTAAATAAATGATGTCATATTTAAAATAAAAAAGTTAAAAGGTTTGTAATGTCCAACCTTGCTCCCAAGTACACAGAAAGGATAGATAAAGTGAAACATTTTCCCAGATTTTGCGTTATAAGCATCACATGCAAAATACTGCTACATCATGGAGAAACATAACCTGTACATGTTCCATAACTATAATCTAACCAAAAACAAAAGCTTGTGAAGTAGGACTTTTAATGTTAATTCTTGTTCCTGTTATTTCTGCTATTGAAATATTAAATTTTGCTTGATTCTTGCAAAAACATGGGTGTCATGGTTATCTAATTCAAGAATGAATCCTCCACCCCCAGAAATCTTGTAGGAATTAAGATGATTCCCAACACCAATTAGTTTCTTTTATACTCATGGCTCCTGTCAAATATCAAGATCTCTATAAACCTACCTCACACAAATATGGTCAGTTTAGAATTTAATTCAATATCCCTAAAAAAACTTATAGAAAAGGTGATTCCCAACACCAAGTCAAAATTAGCAAAGTCCAAATTCCCATTTTCTAATTATTGACCGAGATCGTCTTAAACCTACCTAAGACAAAACCTGATCTTTTTAGACTCTTCCACTGTATAACTTTAGTTTGCCAAGGAAATAATAAATACAGATTTGTTTAGTATAATTTCTATAATTAACATTTTATCAGCAGAATGGAAAAGTAATTGCCATCTACAGAGACCGGGAGAATGTATACTCATGTCATTTTCTCATGCCTGCTAATCTTGCACAGCAAAGACTAGGAATCTCTCAAGGCAAATTTAAGAATACATAGCATTTGTACAATTTTGTATGCTTTTACACAAGCATATATATTCAGAAAAAAACAGAGGAATCTAGGTTGCATAAAATAACTTTGGAGGCCCCAAAATTGGAATTAATCCTCCCAAAAAGGAATGGTGGTTGGCTATGTTTTTTAAATAGAGTCCTTCTGCCTCTCAACAGATGATTTGTTGCCAACGTAGAGAAGAAAAGCAAATTTATTTAGACAGGTGAATGTTGTTCTTCATGGATGGTGTTAAATAACCACCATACATATAGCTGTAAAGAAACATACCTGCATAGAAAACTTTGGTTTAAAGCCTGTCTGCACTAGTTTGGCCAGGGGGGATTAGACCTCCCTGCAAGGTCACTGACAGGTATTTATCTCATCAAATCGGCTCTTAATGGGGATCATGGGGGACCAACAGGCACCGATTAGGTATTGTTTGCTATGTAGAGGGCGCAAGTAGCTATAAGTAGTACATACATAAGTAATACTTACACAACTGAACCATAGAACAGATCCATCCATTTCTTGATGCCAGAACGTATCAATGCAAGCCTCTCCTTGGAGGTGACGTCATCTATTTTGAGTTCTTTGCTGAAGTCTATCATCAACAAGCGATGGCGCTCTACCAGAACCTGGGGTCAAAGAGATAATAATAATAGTAATATTGGATATTTATATAGCGCACATATTCAACATGCATAGTGCTCAAGGCGCTCCGACTATTACCCCGGCTCTGCTAGGCAGCCGATTTCGGCACTTACAGCATTCAAGTAATTCCTAGAAAGCATGAAATGTCAAGATCAAAGAAAGTTATCATACAATACATCACAGCAATATATAACCTATGACTAATTTGATATTCTCATACACATATATAGAGAGTTATTTCAAATGTTTTTTTGTTTTTATCACACTTTCTCATTTATTTATCCCATTTCAGTCAAGTAGTAACAATTAGTTTCTCTGATTTTCCTTTTTTGCACCAGTCTAATTTGGAATCAAAGTATGTTTTCTCTTCAAACAAATCCTGCATTGCAAGAATGTGCTTATTGGAAGATTTAAATTGCCTACTTAGAAAGAAAGAAAAAATATATTAAGAATTTTACCTGCAATTGTGAGAGCTGGACAGTGTCTCGGTCACTCAGAACGATTGTAAAATGATGGGTCAGTTTGGACCATGCCTTCTCACAGATGTGCAGACGTCTTGCAGTGGTCAGGGAGTTAGCCTCTGTGACCTAGAAATAACATATAAATAGAATTGAATCTTATAATGAAACCAATTCAAAAGTATACCTGTACAATAATGTTAAATGTCCATAGACTTTGGTGTAAATATACTTAAGTGTGAAATCACAATGTATACAAGTCAAAGTAATATCATGTTTAACATTTAGATATTGAAAATACTACTACAAATAGATATTTATACTTCTCACTATCAATTAGCCTGTTTAATTGTTCCAAATAACCATGTTTCATGCAATTAAAAAAGTTGGATCTCAAGATAAAAACTATATACAATTAGGCATAAACGTTCAAAACTGAATATCAAGCGCTGTAAAGTCCAAATCAATAACAAAGGGGTGCATAATCCACTACAGTTCTCTTACAAAAATCTATTATGACCTCCTTCGTTTTTGCTACATTTTATTGTAAGTGGTGCCTGTCACACCATTCAACAAACTGTTGGATCAGTGAAAAATAACGTTCAGTATTATCATCTGAAATGTACCCTGTAATCACTGTATCATCGGCATATTTAATCATAGAGCAATTGTTGTCAATGCTCACAAAATCATTAGTGTAAATGGAAAAGAGCACCGGGGATAATACGCATCCCTGAGGTACACCAGTACTGATGGAACGAACACATGAGTAATGCAAAGCTACAAACATAGATTTGGTTTTTTACACCAAAAAAGACTGCACTTTTCTTCCCGAAACTGAAACTCATAGCTTCACTGAAGTTTCCATGAAAGCTTTATCATACCAATGAACAATGCATTGAAAGTCAGAGCGCACTCTTAGAAAATAATTCATCAAAGAAATGCTTCTCCAGCCTTTGTCTCTAAAGCTCATCATAAAGCTCATTTAAGTCACAATTTACCTTTAGAAAGCTAATTTATGACAGTTATATGACCCAGAAGGGAATGTTGCCAATATGGACTAAGATAACTCTACCTTTAATGCTAGGGAGTATGCAGCATTACTCCATAGATCTCTCTCGGAGGTTAGATGAAAAACCTGCTTCTCAAGTCTCCGTCTCTGAAGCTCATAAAGCTCATGATACTCTCCAAGTAGACTGAAAAGACAAATACAACATCTATCAACTACAGATTCTTATATGAATGTATTATATTGCAGAGAATTGTATCAAATATTAGAAATTATAGCAAACTAAAGGTGGTTTCAGCGAAATTCTATCTTCTTCTTTATCTCTTTCATATTGCCTATCTTCTGTTTATATCAATGTTTAAATTTTGCTGGTCTGGGGCTGAAATGAAAATTGATGAGATGCAAAGATGTCTCTTACCTGGCACTTTTCTCTGATTCGGCAAGAGCTGCAGCTAGCTGAAATGTGAAAAATCCACATTAAAGATGATTATTTGATCTACTATATGTCCATACAGATATCTTTACATGTACAGTTACTGGCCAATGAATGGAAGTAACCATCATATAAATATGTCTCCAATTCTTATACCACGCTGCTATTACGGAACAAAAATGGTATCAAACACTGAACTCAAATCAATATTAAATAATCTCATTTTTGGACAAGTTTTTTTTTCATCTCTTATTAAAGAGAGTGACTGCAAAGAAACTTCATTCCTTATTAAATTCTATATCCTTTTGAACTACAGTCGTACATATATTATTATATCGAGCTGATCTCTTTAGTACAAGAAAGAATAGCTTCAAAATAGATGATCCCACTTATCAAAACTGATTTGAATTAGAAACAGTGGGGATTGGAACTTGTCCTCACAATACATAGCTGCTCAATATATGTTCTACTTCTGGCAACTGTAAAATAAAATAAAAACTTGCTGTTAGTACCAAATTATGGTACATTAATGCTATTGATCTCATCCCAGTTTGTTAAACAATGATCCTAATAGTTTCTATTAAAGCCTGTCTGCACTAGTTTGGCCAGGAGGGTTTAGACCTCCCGCTGGTCACTGGCAGGTGGTTATCACATTGAATCAGCTCACAATTAACATTGGCATTGTTGGCTATATAGAGAGCACAACAAGTAGCTACAAGTAGTGCAGACAGGCTTTAAGGACCCTAGCTGTTTCAGGCATCATCTGATTGAAGATCTACCTGTTCTTGGGCTTGCTGGGCCTGTCCAGTCACAACCTTGTCATGTTCCCTCACATCAGATAGCTCACTGGAAAGAGTTGGAAGGGGGTGAACATACATATCAGTGTTAAAAGATTGGGAATCCAAGGATCAAATAGTGTAATACCTCAGTCACACCGCTAAACTGACTCCAAACTGACCGATTCTTGGCTAGTCGAGATACTGTTATGTTCGGTTTGCTGTCGGTTTTGTTGGTGTGACTGGAGTATGGAACTAGACTTGCAATCATCTATATTGCGGCAGCATCTCATATGATGGCAATTGAGGATTTGCAATCTTTAAGGCCCATTTAGACAAACAGCGGTAAACCGTTTGAAAAAAGAAGAAACAAAGCTGTGACAAAATCAAAGGATTTAAGGAGAGTGTGCCACAAATTTCTGTGTCTTGTGATATGCATAGGGGCTATTAATTGTTATGTGCAGCTTCTTGCTTCTTCTTCTTTTTTTTAGTCCCCAAAATATATTCTCTTGCCTTTCATGTACACAATAAGACCTGCAGACCTGCTTTTTAAAAGGCAGATTACTGTATCATTTTTTAACAAGGGAAGCAAAATTAGTCAGGTACATGAATGTGTACACAAAAGCTGATGAATTGTATCACAATTCTTCAACTGATTTCTTATTTCTGGCTACTTCTTACTTGGTGAGATCTGAGATGGTCGACTTGAATCTGAAGAGTTCTTCTGTTAACCTTCGATCAAGAGCTCTCTGGGCCATTACTTCCTGGTGCAGACTATATGGAAGACAGGCAAAGAATAAATAAGTTTCATACATAATAATCATCTTGGAATCAATAAGTTTTACATACACGTATAATCTTCAATGATATGTGTTTTTAAGTATTTTGCCAATCTTATTGTTCATGCAGATATAAATAAAACAAAGTCATTGAATGGTTAATTTGGTTCATTTATGTTGACCTGTGTCAGTTGAAACATTTAAGTATAAACCAAGCCTATACATGATTTCACAATTCAAGTGATTTACAAAGAACAGGTTGAATACTATCTATTCTTCAAAACCTATTTTTCACTGAAAACATAAAGAACTAATTACCTTTTGATTTGCCTAGGCACCTTGTCTAGGAGTTTGTTGTATAGCTCTCTGACTGAAGATAACAGTTCTCCCCTCTCAATACATTCCACGCTCACCTACATCAAATGAATAGCCATAACAAAAACATATTCATCAATTGGGCAAAAAGAATTTCCATTTTTATTGTCGGTTTAACTTAATAAAATTTGGAGTGGACTTTAAAAGATTATTATTACTATTATTATTATAGAAAGAAATTAGGAAACACAATGATAGCAAAAAATTTAGCAACATAACAGAAGTTAAAGTATTGCACATTGCCACTTTAAACTCAAAGGCCTGAATTCACAAAGGAGGTTTAAATTTAACCCATGGTTTAAACCTTCATTTACATAATCCATGGTTTAAAATGAGCACAAAATAAGCGTGACACAAGTTAGAGGTCCAATATTAGACGCGCGCAAGGCAAGATACGCTATTATTGCGCTAATTTTTAAACCACGGGTTAAGTAAATGAAGGTTTAAACCATGGGTTAAATGCAAACCTCCTTTGTGAATTTGGGCCAAAGGATTTACCAAATTTTATATCCCTGGACAACATCCATCTTCCAGACAACGACCTCCAGGACAACTACCCCAGACTACCCCCTAATTTGATGTCCCTGTAGAGCAGTAGTTGTCCCAGGTTGTTTGGTGGTAGCTTTCAAAGGCGACTTTCGTGGGAAGTGGGCAGGGGTATACTGTAGTTGTTCAAGCTCATCTATTACAGTCTACAACCTTCAAACAACATTGTGGTACTACAAACATTTCTTTTTCTTTTCAAAGTTCCAAATCATTCTTAGTTGTACTGAATAATCTCTTCAAGATTAAAGGTGACTTACCTGTCTGATGAGCTCGTGGAAAATGATGTTGTAAATGTTCTGCTCCTTTTTTACCAGCTCTAGAAGGTTATGCATCTGCCAAAGTAAAAAAGCAAAATTTGGATAGATGATGAGGAATTAAATTTGATTTAATTTGATTAATTTTTTCTTCCACATTCAGTATAAAAAGTTATACAAATCATCCTCTTATCATCTTTTTTACATGTACAAAAACATATCGTAAGGAATTATACAACAGTATAAATATAACATATTTCCAGTGATAGTCTTAACATTGTAAAGGAATGCTTAAAGCTAAGTTTGTTTAAGATCTTGTTTTAAAAGAACTGAAGGAGAGATCGAGGCTATAAGGAGAAAGAACACGCAAAAAAAAACAGAGACAAGAAAATATCATTTTAAAAAATGTCATAAATTTTGTCTTCTGCAACCCAGAAGGCATTACCTGTATGTAAAATAATATGATTTGTCAAACATTCTAGCTCTCTGCGGACAATTACATATACAGTCAAATCTGTCTATAGCGACCGACCAAGGGAAACACAAAAAGTGGCCTTTGTAGACAGGTGGTCTTTGTAGACAGATTCCTTTAGTACATGATTCAATGAGAAACCATTTTCAAGGGAAACAAAAAATGTGCTTGTTGTAGACAGGTGGTCTTTGTAGATAAAGCACGTTTGACTGTATTAGTGAACTTTAGTTTGAAGGTATAGCCTTGGCTTGATACTAACCTGTGTGGGACCTTTGACCTCTGCCCCCTCATCATTGACCCCTGCTTTATTCAGCATGGCCTGAAGGGATTCCTTGAGCTGCATCACTTCATAGCGACTTGAGGGTTTACTGTAATGCATGAGTAGAGAGAAAAAGAGAGAGAAATTGAGAGAGAGATCGAGGGCTTATAAATAATAATAATAGGCATTTCTATAGCGCCGTCTAACTAGAAATTCTATTCCGAGGCGCATTTATTATTACCCCGGCATTGACAAATTTCAATCTTTATAGCCTTTTGGCAAAACACAAGTTATTGGAAATTTTCACCGAACCTGGTCAGCAACTTTAAATGTGAGTAAAATGACAGTGAAATGAGACTAGAAAGCAAGCATAGATCTCTAAAGGACTATCTAGTATTTCAAAATAGCCATTGTAAGTAGAGTTCAGTGGAATTGAGCACTCACAGTGACGGAAAAACGACAGGGGCATCATCTTCATTCTTCAATTGTGTGTTGAATTTCCTGAAAAAAAATAGATGTAGACAATGTTATCATAACTCTTCATACAGTATTTCAATTAAGTGCAAGAGGCGTACAGTAGAATTATCACAATTTCTGTTTTCTAAGAGATTTCAAATTACAAGAGTGTAATCATTATAAAAAAAAAAGTCAACATTATGAATTCTACATCCAGCAGCCATGCTTAGCGATAAATCTACTCACTTGACATTTGCAAATTTGATCACATAAGAGCAAGAAGCATACAGCTACTACAGTAGAATCTGTCTACAGCGACCACCCAAGGGAAATACAAAATGTGGTCTTGTTAGACAGGTTCCTTTAGTACATGTTTCAATGAGAAACCATTTTCAAGGGGAAAAAAATGTGCTTGTTGTAGACGGGTTGTCACTAAAGCAGGTTTGACTGTATTTCTATTTCTTAATTTTGTGTAATCAAGCTTAATCAAGTTATACAACAGAAAGCCTGATGATGACTTCTTTAATAATAATAATAGCCTAATAGTCCACTCCAAATTTTATTAAACCGAAACGGAAATTCTTTTTGCCCAATTGATCGTGAGCCCGGCAGCCACTGAGCAGCGCCAAATCGACGTTGCTCTATCCCTTATTGTTGAACGCCAAACAAGGTAGCAACAACTCCCATCTTTTAACGTCTTTTGGTATGACTTACTTCTTCAATTAGGCAAAATGTTTAATTACACAAAAGCACTATAAAAGAAACAATAGTCTATTTTATTTGATAATTCAACAATCAAATATCCCAATTCTTCTCTCAATACTCACTCTTCTTGGAATTCTAGATGTTGGACACCCTTTGCTTTGACCACATGATACTCTGAAGGAACCAGTGTATTAGGAACAGTCATAGCCTAGGAGAACAACAGAATTATTCTTCTATATTTAGGATTACGATGCCATAGTGGTGTGATTAAATATGACTCAAAATACATGAACGACTCTATGATTCCTTAATGTCATCCCATTTTTTGGAATAGGTCACAAGGGTTATAAAATGAAGTAGTACAATTAATTTGTTTTCTGTAGAAGCTTGTCTATAAATACTGTCCTACATTAGGAGTAAAAGTAAAATCTATGGCCACCTTCTTAAGTAGACTTGCATATTGCAAGCTGTGACCTTGCGAACCATTTTGGATTTTAAAAAAATATGGCGGATGCGAATGCCTATCCTTTCATTTCAAATGTGTGTAGAATACAAAGTACAGTTGCGATTCATAAATACACATCTTTAATTCTAACAAAATTATTTTATGTTTACAACTTTACAACAAAAGCCCCTTTCTAAAAGGAAAAAAATTGATAAAAATACATACCTTATAGCTTTGTGAATGCTTTTCAATGCCACGTTTTGCGCTTGGGTCACTTGTTAATGCCCGTGGATCATTGGAACCGTTCATTGCAACATCGTAGAGGAAAGATATGTCTCTAGAATAGGAGTAACATGACAAGTCAACGTTATTAGCAAGCCAGATATGTTTTACATTCTGCAAAATAATTATGATATGAATATTGAAGTAAAAGATGTATTTGTAAGCAGATGTAGAGCAGGTGTTCATCTTTAGCAGCTTTGCAGTTATTGGTTATTTATTTCTGATATGTCATTTTCTTGCCACTGATAGGTCCAACAGTAATTACTTGAGATATAAGTCTCTTACCAGTCTCTAACTGGGCAGTCATATGGAAAAATCAAAAGGTTTTTTTTTAATTCCACTATTTTTATTTTGTAAGTTCATCAAACAAATGAATTAGGACTCTTTTGTCATTCAAATGATGTATCCATGCAAACTGATGAATAACTTGCAATTTTAAACAATTCACTGCCTTATACCTAACAGATAACAAGGAATCTTACAAATGAAGGATGAAATGTGATATATTTGCTACTTTAAATTCCTGTTATGATATTCTTTAATCTTGAAGTCTTCCATATAAAAGATGCAAGAGATGATAATTTCTTTCTTTTTCATATCATAACCAGTACATCACCTGACTTTTCAAACCACACATCAACAAGCTGAATATAAAGTACAAATACATGCCCTACCACAACAAACAGAGAAGCGTAATTTTGCTACATACATGACAGATTATCCTTAAGTCTATAAAAAGCAGCCAGACCTCTCAAGATATTATCGATCAAAGTGACAGACTTCTTACATGTTCTTGAAGGTTTGTCAATTAATGGGCGAAATGAGTTGTTACATAATATTTACAAAATCATCAATGTATAATATTTACAAAATCATCAATACATTGTCTTATATACATGTATGCTACAAACCTTCCTGCTCCAGTAACAGAAACAGGCTGATCTGTTAAATGTTGGAATTTCCGCCTTCTGCTCGGGAAATTCCATACGTTGGCTGGTGGTCCACTCTTGATTGCCTGTGAAAATGGAACAATAAAGATTGCTTAAAGGTAATACAAAGTTTTGGTAAGTCATGAATTTGGTTCAGAAAAAGGATTCAGTTATATAAAACAGTAAGAAAAAACACACAAATCTATTGTACACTGTACATTGAACTTTGACTTGAAAGTTATACCTTCATAACTCTTATTCACGTTAGGGTATTACTTTCCAGTTTTTGCATGACTAAAATATTTGTGTAGAACTAAATGATACAGAAATTGACTTGTGGCAGGTTTAACTGCATTCCACATATTTGTAAATCTTTCATTCCTGCACATGAATTATTTACATTACAAGATTAGACTGGGTTCTGTACTTTTGTTAATAATTATTTCAAGAAATATACTGAGAGCATCATATGCTTTAGGATCATTTGAATATAGCAGTTAATTAAAATGATTATACTGCGGTTCTTGAAGCCCCACTGCACTACTTATGACTACTTGCGCCCTCTATATAGCAAACAATGCGTAATCGGTGACCATTGGTCCCCCGTGATCCTTTTTTTTCTTATGTTAATTGAGAGCTGATTTGATGAAATAACCACCTGTCAGTGACTATGCAGGAAGGTCTAATCCCTCCTGGCCAAACTAGTGTAGTGGGGCTTTAAACTAATTATAACAAATGGTGTCACAAAAAAGAGAGAGAGACACAAAGAATAACCTAATCTACTGTTTTATAAGCATACCTTCTGATCTGTAGGAAAAGTTGACTTTGCCTTTCCTGGAGCTTTGAGCTTGTCCTTGCCGACTGGTTTGGGGAGTTGTGTGAGTGCACTCAAGATGTCTTCTGGGATGAAGTCACTCTGCAGGGATGTTGGCAATGGTTTGGTCTTATCGATGTAATAATCACTGGATCGCAACTCTGGAAGTGGACTACCTTCTGAATCACATGATAAACATTTCAGCATCATTAACTCATTCAATACAACGATATGTAATGATACAGATTTTTGAATAATAAAAATAAATAATTAGATGGATAAATAAATAAATAAACAGATAAATAAATACAAAGATAGATTACAAAAGAAAATAGAAAATAAACTATTGATCAATGCTGGATTATTCTTTAGTCAGCTTCATGTTAATTATATTCATATGCATAAAATACCCTTTTTTTTATTAAAGGGTGAGAACAGACAGAGATCCACAAAACTCATGTATGTTTGAGACAGAGGCAGAGAAAATTTATAACATGTGATAAACTCTGTAAGATTACCATTTACATCCAAAACATATACAGCCTAATCAAAGTATAATTTGTTTGAGGGAAGTTTCAGGAAGGTATCGATATCAACACCAATGACACATCATATAGAGTTAATACTTCTCATTCAGCACAAAGCTACAAATCTCAAATAAGAGCAGAGGAAGAAGAAGCAAACAAGAAGAACAGGAAGCAGAAAAATATGAAGAATAGATTTTAGCCTAAAGACTTTGCTAACCATTTCAGTAAATAGGCAATAACATGTGCAGTCTCCCTTGAAAACTCCATCTTCGAAATATGGACTTGGTCATAAAACCACCTTAGCTCGTTTTCTGACCAGGTACCATAGTAAGTAGGACTTACCATTTTCCAGTTTGGAGATGACACCTTTTTCTTTCCTCAGCACTGGACTGTTGGGTCCTGATTCAGAAGGCATGGGGGTGGGGTCAGGAGGCTTGGGGAAATTCCCAACATCTGGGGCAACTGCCACCGCTGTCATATCTGCCTTGCTTTATTCTGTAAAAATAATATTAAATAGAGATTACTCACTGCAAATGATTATCGGCTAAAATTGTTTGATAATCATGATAAATAGAGCAGTTAGAACAAATTATTTATTTGTATTTGCATGGAGGCAGTATACATATAAGACTACGTATTCGGAACTACTGCACATCACTTGTTTACACACACAAACATATCCAATCCAGAGCTATCAGTGAAGTCTACAACATTGGAGATAATCTTTTTTGTATATGGTGTTGTGTGTCCGGAAGCTCAACAAAACTTTTTTCTTTAGATTTAACAAAATGTATGCATAAAATAGCACTAATTGCAAGCTCAAAAGTTTCTCACCGCATGTATATTATCGTATCGGTCAGATACTATAGCACCGTATCTCTGTATAGTTTAGATTCCAATTTCTGATCACCATACCCGCAGGTGTAGTTTTTGGCCGTGGCGGGAATACGTGCTCCGGCCGCACACGTCTTATTTTTTTGTACCACAGCGAGCCCGTGCTATAGCATCAGCTGGAGAACGCACGGGGAACGAACCCTACTGACTACGTACGTTCATGCGGCCGAAAACTACCTCGCTAGGCCGAAAACTACCTCTGAAACAGTGAACATGAAACTGAATATTGTCATGGGCATGGGCATGCCATGGCATGGCAATTCTTGATTTTCTTTCTGTGATTCTTTTTTTGTTTAAATAATAATAGAGTCTAGTAGTAGTATTTGCTTCATGATTTGAACAAGAAATGATAATAAATAGGAAGTAAAGAGTCCAAAAATAGGATTTTGTCTTAAGTGGCCGAAAACTCCCTCCTTTAACTTTACTCTAGGAATAGAGTCTAGAATCTAATTCTAAATCTAACAACAGTAAATAAACATAGGTAGCAGTCTAAATTGAAGGAAAAAAAAGTATTTTACTGCTTTTTAGGTGTCATCAATTGTCACTAAAGTACCGATTTTGAGAGAGATCAGTTGAGTTTTTTACAGTGGTGTTTGAAATGTTAAGAATCAATAGATCTAGATCGAGAACAGTTTTAATACACAGCCAGCGCCAGGATAGAAAATTACAGACTGGTGATGCTACAACTGCTCCACAACAACCTGGTAGCACTCGACACAGCATCCTTCTGTCACAAGACCCTCCAGGACTGCCCATGCACATAGCTAGTAATAGTACTCAACATCAATTACAATTAGTTCCTCCTCATCTCGAGGCCGTCGTCATCACAAATCTCATCCTCCTTGGAGTTAACAACGACCCACCCATAACTGCCCAGGCCCTGGATTATCATGCTGCATCCCTAACATTCAATCTTAGATATGCACATTAAACGTTCTGTTGTGAACAAAGCAGCTCCTGCATAAGCTGTGATCTTCACGTCTTGCGATCTTTGATATTATATAGGGTAGAGTACCCAGTATTCGGTCACTTAAGGGGAAATCACTAATATTTTGAATTCTTACCTCTTTCATTTGGCAATCTACCCATCAAAAGAAAAGAAATTTATTCCTCTAACAGGATTTTATAGTTACTTAAAATATAGAATAATGATAAGCAAAATACTTCCGAAAGAAGACGGAGCATTTTTCTGCCCAGAATTCGGTCGCGCCGATTAGAATTTGGTCACGCGATTTGTGCGTGGTATCTCCGTTGCAAAGGAGCGTAGCGTATTTGCGCACTATTTTCACACAATTGCGCGATAAAGCACTGAATGTCAATGCATTGACCGAATACTGGCTGAGCGATACCGCATGGCAAGGGTATCGTATAAATACCTCTTACACATCGGCAAGTGCGTCAGTTGCAAATTCGCTGCGATGGAGCGAACACGGAAGTGATTCTCTTCACACACATACTAAATTCATTGTGACAGCACACGTAGTTGTTTCGCAATAGACTTCTACATATGGCTATGCATGTTAGCGCATGTGCTAAGAGAACGCGAAAGTGCAGAAAGTTGTGCGACACCGACCAATTTCGAGCTAAGTTGGAGATCTTTCCGGGGCCCTAAATCTGATTTAATTTTGAGAGTTAAGAAAAGTTGTTCAGCTGCCTGATTTGTGCAAGTTTCGTGGCTCATAAATTATTTTTTAAATTGTTACAGCTGTTGAAACGGCTGTCTGACCGAATACTGGGAACAGACCGAATACTGGGCGCGCTACCCTACACAGTTTTGTATTGTCTCTAGAGGGTCTACTATCTATTTACTCATTCTGCGAAGGATACACTCCGCAGTTCTCCAATCCTGGAGGAAACCAAGAAGAAGAAGTACTAGTAAGCTACCAAGTCCTCCGTTCAAGAACTGAGCAACATAAGCAAACCTTCTTTCCCAGGACTGTGAGGAGTTGGAATAACCTGCCATCAGAAACAGTATGTGCCTCATCCGTGAATGCCTTCTGTCAATGACGGGAGGCAGTGCAACCAAGTCCGGGAACTTTTTACCTGCACAATAGCATTGCACCATGCACCTGGCTCTCGTAAGCACACACATACTCATCAGTCTGCAAGAATCTTCAAAAGTGAAGGAGGTAGACTTAACCCAAAGAAAAAGAAGAAGATAGTAGACAACTAGACATCTAATGGCATGCAGCTATGTGTGCGCACCTCCACGACTCGAACAGATTTTTTGAGATCCTAAAGACCACACATAATTTTAGATAGGTGGGGCTGTACTCAATTATTAACGCAGAAAACACTTTCGAATTACACTCATACCGCACCACAAAATAACAATTTTTCAAACAAATATTGCTCAAAACCGATTCTTAGTCTTCGTTTGCAATATGCTTTAAATTGGTCATCTGAAAACGATAAAAGAAGGAATTTCGAAATCATTCTTACCAATATTTTATTTCAATGCGGCTTGTTGTCAACGAAACAATGTGAGTCAACATTCGTTACTCCACTAAGTTAGCTAACTCGCGATGCTCTCGACGCCACTCCGCTCACTCTGTCATTTTATGTTCTAAGCTTCAATACAAGGGAAGTCCACAGGGGCGTCAATCCGAATTAGATCATGGGGGGGGGACACATGTTCAGTGAGGATTAGGGGGAGGGGTAGGAGGACATAGAATGCGGTGTTTGCAGGGTATGGTGTGGCACGAGGGTTAACACCCCCTTCCAATATAAATTTAGTAGTATTAGAAACAGTGAAATAAATAGACTGAATAGAACAAAATAATAAACGAAGGGTTTAATGTTTGCCTTTTTTTCTTCCTAATAAGCGAAAATGTTCCATAATATATAACTTACTTTAACAGAATTTCCATATCTCAATAATTTAGAAACCCTTAGCTCTGGTTCCAGGGGCGTAAATACCAGGGGGGGGGGGGTGAAGTGCATCCCCCCCCCCCCCCCCTGGCTTGAAGTAGGGGGTGGCCTGTACAAACATTCCCCCCCCCCCCCTGATATATTAAAAAAAAAGAGAAAAAAAAGGAAGAAGAAGAAGGAAAAAAATGTGATTGTTTCAATTTCAGCATAATGCATGAGAAATGAGTTATTTTTTGTTTGTATGTATGTATAACTGTATAGCCTACACGTATACAGTATGTCACGATCATTAAGAGTAGTTGCGCGACGTGCGCGAAGAAGCACTTCATAAACTTTAGAATAATGTTTCGTTATTTTGCAAGGTTTATTAAAGACGTAAAGTACGCCAGCGCGCGAGCGCTTAAAAAGTGCAATCATGGAGATGCCCGGCTCCCCCCCCCCCCCCACTCAGTGTTATTTAGGGTACGCGTATGCTCGTTCCCTCCCTTTGAAAGCACAGCCCCCCCCCCCCCCCCCCCCCCCCCCCCCCCCCCCCCTCAGGACAGCCAAAATTTCTGAATCCTCCTTTCGCCGGCTTTTCGCCGGCTTTTCCTGCCTTGAAGAACCCCCCCCCCCCCCCAAAAAAAAAAAAAAAAAAAAAAAAAAATCCGGAACACTGCTAAATGTACCATCCCCCCCCCCCCCCCCCCCAATTTCAGGTGAGCTCTAGTCGATCGAGGGGGACTGGGGGCCAATGTTTTTACTTTTCAAAATGGCATGAAAATGAATTCAGATAAAAGGGCTTAATAAGAGTCAAAAACGGTGCAACGAATCGTCTTCTTTCTATAATAATTAAATCAAACGTCTAAGCTTTTCGCGCTTCGCGCGGGAAGGGGGAAACTGAATTCAGACAAGGATTAAGAGTCGAGAACAGTACACCCAATCGTCTTCTTTCTCTAATAATTTAATGAAACGTCAAAACTTACGCGCTTTGCGCGAGAGGGGTAAACCGAATTCAGACAAAGATTAAGAGTCGAGCACGGTTTAACAAATCGTCTACTTTCTCTAATAATTTAATGAAATGTCAAAGCTTCCGAGCTTCGCGCGAGAGAGAGAGGGAGAAACTGAATTCATACAAGGATTAAGAGTCGAGCACGGTTCAACTTATTGTCTACTTTCTCTAATAATTTAATGAAACGCCAAAACTTCCGCGCGGGAGGGGGGGGGGGGGCCGGGGGGGCCGGGGGAACTGAATTTAGACAAGGATTAACAGTCGAAAACGGTACAGCAAATCGTCTTCTTTTTATAATAATTTAATGAAACGCCAAAGCTTTCGCGCTTCGCGCGGGAGAGGGGGGGGGTTTATTCAGACAAGGGTTAACAGTCGAGAACGGTACAATAAATCGTCTTCTTTTCCTAATAATTTAAGGAAACGTCTAAGCTTTCGCGCTTCGCGCGCTCTTTGAGTGATTCGCCTGCTCACTACCGCCCTCCCTAAAATGAGATCCTAGCTCCGCGCCTGCATTAAAATATATAGCTATGATGCTGACTAAGTTGACGAAATAATTGGAGGCTAGTTTTGTCTGTAATCGTTGGCCCACCCCCCCCCCCCCCCCCTCACTAAAAAAAAGTCTAGCGACGCCCCTGACCATTACACATCATTTTCGATCGCGCGCGCTTGCGTAAATAAGTGTGGGCGTGTGCTCGTGCTAGTATGTGATGGCTATCGCCGATCATCCCCCCACTCCTCGGTACGGATTTACGCCCCTGTCTGGTTCATAACACTGAGTTCCCATAGGACATATATTTATTCAGATGGTCATATCTCAGCCAATACTTAATATATTCAATTGGTTTTCAAAATTCGAACATTGCTTTTTATGCTCTTTCGGAAAATGAAGAAAAAATTTAGAAATTCTAAAAATAGATTTTTTGATGACGTCACACTTCACCACTCTATAGGGGAAAAAGTGAGGGGAATGGCGCGCTCATCTTGGTTTCATAAAGCCCTCATCACACCAGACTCGTTCAGTCGTTCTCATCACTACGTTCTGAAAAAATGATGCCAAACGGGTTACAATTACTGTTACGCGAAAGGAGTGAACGTCTCCCCTCTATTATCTCTTTCTCTGTATTCTATCCATCTATCTCTCCGTCTCTCTAAATCTCTCTCTCTCTCTCTCTCTCTATCTCTCACCCTCTCTTTATCTTCCCTCTCACTCTATCTCTCACTTTCTATCTCTCTCCCTCTTTCTCTTTAAACTCTCTCTTTCTCCCTTATATCTCTCTTTCTATCTCGTTTTATTCGATTAGCACCTTCGCTGGATATCTTCCGAAAATGTCTCAAAACTCTCCTCTTTGACCATGATCAACAATAGATACTTTGATAACTTTTATGTAAAGCGCTGTGAAACAACAGTAATTAGAGCGCTATAGAAATGACTTTATTGTATTGTATTGTATTTATCTTTCCCTCTCGTACATCGTTTATAACATTATTCTGTCAAAAGGGGGTTTGACGGCGTGGATTATCTTGATTCAGAGAAAACACAGACAAATAATATTCTCTTAATCTCTTTGAACACCCGCATGTAAGGATTCAGAAAAGGCTTTTTTAAAAAGTCATTCGTGACTTTCAGAGGAGAGTTAGCACATTTTTTTTTTGGCCTTCGAAAATTAAAAATTTGCACACCACCCCCTCTTGAGCGCCAGGGGGGGGGGGGGGCCAACCCCCCAAAAAGGAAAAATCACGTGTTTTTACATGATTTTTTTTCTCAAGGGGGGGGGGAGGGCCCCCCGGCCCCCCCCCCCGGATCCGCCACTGACATGATCTCACCACGACCTGGTTTCGGGAGAAAAGGCAAAGGGTTTGGTCTTAATTCTTGTTCATGCTAATCTTAAAGGTTCTTCACTGTTCAACAGCAGGTGGAACCTTGATGAGGAAGATTTGACATTGTTAGATATTGCAGAAATGACACCGGGACCCTTTGCATATTCTTCCAAAATTAGGCCGTTGGTGGATCATGTATTGTGGGCTGGGGTAGTGTGACTGCATTTTGTTTCTTCACCCTATGATATTGACTTGTCCATCTTTTTTTAAGGGGACACCCCCTCCCCCACCTCCTCAACAAAGGAGAAATTAGATGTGATATTCTTTCTTTAACAAATGACTCTCTGAATTAGTTAGAATACGTCTTTTGCTACATCTACAACAATAAGTATCAATATGAAAAAATACATGGAAATTAGCAGTGTGACATAGTCTAGTGGATAGGCAAACGCCTGGCAACTGGAAGGTATCGGCTTCGACACCCAGCTAGTGCTTTTTTTTTAATCTTTGAAAAATAAAAACTGATGTTAAGCCCATTTTAATCTCACTCAAAGTCCATATTTATTGATTTTCTTTTATGAGCTTGCAATAAACTTGTAAATAAAATAAAGTATTATACGAAGTACACGAAGGACAGCAATTCTGTTTTATCCATCAAACATTACATTCAATACGTTTTCAGTCCGAATGAAAGAGAGAAGGAGAGAGAGAGAGAGAGAGAGCGCGCGCGAGAGAATCCAATACACCCCATTAATCAAATAAAGTCTTAGAATCTCAATCCACATATTTACAATTAATTTAAATATTTTGCCGGGAAAGCCGGATATTTAAAAAAGTGAGAAAAAAAAACTATATCTTATAAAGAGGAAAAAACAATCCTGAAGGGGTTTTTAATTTTTAAGCACAATCTAATATGAAAGACTGCACAGATCTTTAATTAGAAACATAATTATATCAACATTAAACTCGAGCGAACGTATAGCGAGCTGGCTTTGGGTGAAATTAAAGAAATTACTAACAAGCATTTAGCAGTCAGATTAAATAACCACCACCACCACAAAGAGTTGCTCTTAATCGTTTCAAATTAGGAGTAGATTTCATGGGGAAAGGAAAAGGAGGCACACATCCAAAGGGAAGAGGACACTTAATTGTTTGAAAAGAAAAAGAGCACATGTCAAAGTAAAAAGGGCGATTGCCAGAGGTGAAAATGGGGCACTCCTTGCACTTAATAAGGGGCACTCACCAGAGATGAAAAAAGGGCATTTATCATAAGAAAACTGGCAATAATTAGAAAGGATAAGGGGCACGTGTCAAAATATAAAAGGGCGATTATTACAAATTAAAGGGGGCACCTCTCAAATTTGAATAAGGGCTCTCATTGGAAATGAAAAGGAAAACTTATAAGAATTAAAAGAGGGCATACAAAGGAAAAGAGGTACTTTCTCAAAATATAAGGAACACTAATAAGATGAATAAGGGCACTTGTGAGAATTGAAAGGGGGGCACTAATGAGATTTTAATAGACTGCATCTATCAGATGTGTCAGAAGTGGCATTATGAGAAGGGGAAGTGACTCTTATGAAAAAAGTAAAGGGGCATTTATCAGAACAGAAAGGGCACTTATTAGAAATAAAAAAAGTCACATTTCCAAATAAAAAGGGCACTTATCAGAGGTGGGGATTGGCACTTATTAAAAAAAGAAAAGGGCACTTGTTAAGGTAAAATGGGCATCTCTACGATTTGAATAAGTGCAATTAAAAAAGGTGAAGGGGCACTTAATTATCAGAGGTGGTAAAACGCGCTTATAACAATGT